GTTCGAAAATGAAATAGAGTAGTCAGTGGCGAAATTTCGTTTAATATTCGTTCGTTACCGAAATTTCATTTCGGAGAAAGAGAGTAACGCTCAGCGGGGCTATCCTGTAAAATTTTTATGTGCGGATCCGATGCGGATTCGCGAGTTTCCCATATAGATTGGAGCGGAACCGCAACGGATCCGGAGTTACAGAATGTAGGCCCTGGTTCGACATATTATCGTGTCCGTGAGCGGAGTCTGTGTACGTTGCTCGGGTGCACTTTGTATGTAGATTACCTTCTATCTATTTTGTAGAATATGTAAGATGCATAGTAATTAAACTAGGTATCATCTAGTAAAATTAAAGCAACCTACAAGAAAATGTAAGTTTATTTGCTTTACATCGCCGCAGCACTACTAGTCAAGTCACAGCTTTGACAAAATAAATAGTTAACTGATTCAGCTTGTTGAGTGCTTGCTGAAACGAATAGAGGCCTAAAATTTATCTATTTTGTTAGACGACAATAAGATTAAGATAAAGCACGTTTATATATATAATAAATATTTAACAGCTTCGACAGTACCTTTGGGTCTGCGTTGCGCTTAACCCGCGTTAAGGTCACGGAGCGGGCGTCCGCTTCGGGTGCAGATTTAATGTTATTTCGTAGAGACGCTTTTTACGCAGAGCTACTCCATGAAATAACATGAAATGAACCGTACGCCCGCTCCGTGCTCCCGCTTAACGCAGCGCAGGCTCTTAAGAGCGCGCGTTCGATTTTGCGCAAGTCAAAATCTACACGATCTATCGAAAGGAGTACGCGCTGTGGCACAATGTTTTCTCTGTGTGCGTGAGCGCTGAACAGTTAGAATAGAATACTAGAATACTTTTATTTATTTAGGATCAATTTTATGATTTATTTTTTTGAATCTAATTGTTATAATAAATTAAAACAACAAAGTTTAAAGTAATTATCTAATTTTATAATTGCACATCTCTAATTGGCATTGACCGACTTTTTCTCGGATCGATCAACTCAGGCAAAAGACATTTATTGTAGAACTCTACTAATTTAGGTTCCATTTTTGTTTTCCAAAATACGTCGTCTCTTGTAATTTTTGTGGTCTTTATAGCGAATTCCTGTCCCGTCCACACCGCAAACAGACACACATTTTTTTGACTGAAAAAAAAAATATTGAAATACATTTCTATCAATGCTGAGCTACCGAACCGAACGTTAGTCGTTACAATAAAGTAATTGATAGTGATTCTCACCTGATATGGAGCTGGCCTTGGATTTGAAAGTACCAGTCGACCCATCAATTTTCCAAAACTTAATTTTTGTTTGGATTATGGCCTGTTCAACATCCATGTTACGCGCCGATTATGGACATTTCATTTCGACTATCCCTTCTCCGAATAGACCATCTGGAGACGCTCCCAAAAAGAAATATTTTTGGTCAATGAAGAGTCCACATTTTTGTACGACGATACCTTCTTGCTGTTCCAGTTGTTTGATAGCAGTTTTTTCATTTGTCTTTCCATATTCAATGGCTGTTACGCTGTTCAAAGAATATGAATAGACAAGAGACTTTACAAGTGGGGCAGAGCTAATATTACATCGCCTTTTGCAAACCTAAAAAAGTAATGAGTATGAATAACATCAACATAAAACTTCCCGGATAATTTTCGTATTTCGTATTAGGAACGTACCTTACTAAAAGATGAGGCTGTTAATAGGCATCTTCGGAGCTCCAGCCACAATGCGCTTTCAGCTTGCAATACTGTGTCTCGTTCTACCTCATGTCGCTTTTCTACCAGGCCTTTCAAGTTTTGCAAAAATATATTTTTTGCAGTTTCATACTGTTCCGGCGTTTAATCTGGTTTTTGGCATCTCTCACCATAGTCGTTTTTATCAACTTGAAAAACGATTTTTTTAAGCCTGGTCTAATGTTACGGTTACGGATGCAAGAATGCATCGGCTCAACTCCAGCAGCTTAATTGATCGCCTGGGGCTTTTTTTAAAATTGGATTTGTACAAAGTGTATTGGGCTTTGCCAGTATTAAAAGCTACAACTGCAGCGTGACACAGTGCCGTATAAGAATTTTTCAATGAAAAATTTATACGTTTGCCACCTATATGCTTTGCAACAATACTGTTGAATTGTTCGGCTCTATTGTTATTTAAATTACAAAGCAAGCTTTTTGAGTTCAGTGCAATTTGTATTGTGTGAACCATTACTTTTCTAAACAGATTTTTCACCAAAGGGACCAGATTTTGCTCCTTTTTCTTTTCCTCTGTACAATAATATTCTTCACAAGTATGATCACCAAAAATATGCTTTGGACTGTTTATTATGTCATCCTTTAATTTTATAATTTTATCGGAACTGTTGGTGTTCTGAGCATTGCGAAAGCGAGCTGCTGCTCTTACGGCTGTACGAAGTCGAGTGATTCGTTCATTTGTTAAAAGTTTTCTTTCGGAAAGTGGAATAGATGTATCCTTTTGTAGGTGCATAAGTTTACTATTGTAATTTCTAAGCAGGTGGTTCGAACATTCAATTTTCTGCACTTGTACATTAGGATATGGCCTGCTTTCCAATATTTTTTTATAAGTGCTTGCATCTCCATCTGCTATAAGAGTTTTGTATATCAAGGTATGAGTGGTGACTGAAGTTTTAAATCCCTCGACTTGTTTGTTCTATACTTGTAGAAGATCCTACATGATTTTTAGTACACTGATGGATGAATGGCGATTGATTTTTTGATGCAGATCGGGCGCATACTACACAATATTTGTTTTTTACCCTCATAAATAAAACTTTCCCAGTTTTAAATCCAGTAATTGCAGCTGCTCCCGATGCTGCGGCGTAATTATTTCCATATGATATTTTAGACCAGCACGCATCAGCTACAACTACGATCGCAGGAATTCCATCAATAATTTCTCCACTTTCAATTGCTAGCTCACTTTCTTCTCTAGCTGCCTCTTTCATACTGGTTTCTGCAGCAACTGCCCACCAATTGGATACGTCACTGTGACATTTATTATAGGTCCATAGCTGTTAATAATTCATTTAAGTTAGTTCGTCCACAGCCAATCAACATTGCGCCAGTCAACGCAGCATGATTTATAGTCATATCATTGGACTCACAGAGTGAAGTTGTGCAAGAATTCACTTGAAATTTTTGGTTGCACATGTTACATTGGAAGTAGATTACGGACTCCAAACCAATAATCTTTTCTCTTACAATTTGCATGTTACTTATTGAACAACCTAAACCCGGATTGTGATCAGATAATGATTTAATTTGGTCAAAAAAGTGACTGAAGTCAACCATTCTTCGACCTTCAATTCGAAATGTTGAACTGGTTGAAACATTTGCTTCTACGTCCTAAAACCAATATATAGATACTGTGTCATATTGTCTCAATGGTTGCATTACAAAAACTCCAATAATATTATAATCTAATGATACTTACAATTTCAAATTCTTGAATATCGTTCAAATCCTCTACAGTACTTTGCATTCTATTTTCTGCGACTACAAAATCTTCTATTAATGATGAGACGATATCCTAAAAAAAGTGTTAGGAACTGTCTAGGTCGGTAGAACTCAACAATATATTGCATCTCAAAAAATAATTTATGACTTATTTTTCGCAATGACACATAATAATTGATGACATCATGGTTAACATCTATGAAATTCTCTTTCGGTTTTGATAAGACGTGCGGAAACTATTTATACATTTAAAAACCGCCTAAATTCCTATTATCTGACATTGTAATACTTTTCTTTTAATATCTGATGTGCTTACAACTGCCTCCTAACTGGACTGGATCAATGTATATATTTGTATTTATAATTTTTGTATGTACATCACGTGTACTAGATGCTATTGTACTTAATGTTCAATGTTTTTTGTGGTGTACAATAAAGAATTTTTGTATTGTATAATGAATATATACGCTGAAAGCTCACTTTAGAGCAATTTTCATTATCTACCTTTAAACAAAACCAGTCGAAAATTTTTATTTTTCTTTCACGAACCATACTAATTAAAATACTTACGTGCTCTGCATCACCAAAGTTTATTGCATCATTGGGCTTACTCGACTGTTCTTGAATAGAATTCTTTTTTTGTCTGAAAGAATAAACCGAATCATAAATTCAATTCAAAAAAGTTATTAAAGTAAACCTAATTAGGTGCAGGCGCATTTGACCAGACAAAAATAATCACATTTTACGCGGGTGGTATTTAACATATAAATACAAACCTTTTAGCTCTTGCTTTAGCCATATTTTCTAAATTTCTGCGTTTTCTCTTTCCCAAAAATCGCTTCGTTTTATTTCCCATTCCGTCTGAAACATAATTTGTTGTCACTATCAAATAATGTCGGTCAAAAAACTTACTCAAGTACTTACGACACTATAAAATATTGCTGGTCATCAAAAATAAAATTTTACTTACCCAAAGTACTAAGATTTGACGATCACGCTATAAACTTGAGCTGTCCTTGGAACTAAGCGTACGCACGGCAAAGGTCAATCATTTCATCGACTATAATTTCTAAAAAAAATCTCTTTGTATGGATTTTAATTTTATGAGTTTGGAAGCTAAAACAAAAAATCCCTTTAACTAATGATTTTCTTAAGGACCTTTGCTGTTAGTTAAAAATTTTTGTTTATTAGATCTGTCAGGAATTTCAGATATTTTTAGCTTCGAAATTGACACTGAGAGTGAAATCCAGTAAACCTCTGTTCAGTTATCTTGATGGTATTCACAAATAATGTTTTAATCGAAAAAAAACTTTAACTAACGACATAGATTAAAACATTTCCTAAAATTATAAGTAATTCACATGTTTGTAAGATAATCGGTTGGTGGACAACCTGGTTTGAAAAATCACGTTTTTTGGCCAAACAGCGCACGGAGCGCGTATACCCTCTTAAAATACGTAGTGCTTATTGGCTACCTATAGGTATAGGAGAGCTATTTATAAGTAAAAAAAACTCGTATCAGTTTTGGTTGTTTATTTGTCAGGAAGCAAATGATTCACAGCATTGGTGGGGTACAGGAGTCTTACAATACTGGGCCGAAACATTCATTTTCCTGAGTTGATCATAAATTTTATTAGAAGTGTAGGTACAACAACTTACAATACATAAGTACCCGAATATAAAAATGTGGTAAAAGAAGCGAGTTTCAATTCACGTAAGTATATTACTTAGGTATATTTTTTTGTTGTTTATAATAAACTACACACCTTACTAAATCACAATTTCTAATTATGTCAAAAATTACTTTATCACATTTATAACATTCTGTACAAAGTAAAAAAATATCTTCATACTTCAACTAGTAAAATAAAGCTGCAAGAATGATGACAACAATGAACTATGTATAAGTTACTCTGTTTTCACTCAGTACAATGTTATTTTAATGAATAATGTGTGAAGTGAAGGACGACTCAGCAGCGACTACGTTATGTAGGCCCAACTTGAGTCACCACTCGGACTAAGAACTCACGGAGCGGTTTTTGCGTACTCGCCGTTGGCGGCCACAGAGCTAGCTGTTTTATTTCAAAACACACGAGAACAGTTTTCAGCGGTCAGAACGCTCGTAAACTAAACAATAGAAGATCGGACGAAGCTCGCCGCGTCGCGCCGCGCAATGGCGTTTTACGTACAATTTCACATTCAACACAATTTTCGAAAAACGCTTCATGACTTCTTTAGCCGTAGAGATATACTCGTTATCCACGTGATAAGCTACAATGCTATTTATTTGCTTATTTCGTCAAGTGTTCGCACTTACATAGATACAGCTATTAAGTTATTTCATCTATATCTAAACTATAATCCAACTTGTTTTAAATATCATAATAAAATCGTAAGGTTATAAATAACATAATTATTACATTACGTGGACTAACAACCTTTTTAAGGAGTGACTATTCACTTGTAATCAATTAATTACAGAAGCAACTAACTTTTGTAGGACATTGAAACCATAAGGCATGATGAAGTAATATAGATGCTCTTCGTGTAGTCTTTTTCTCATTTGGTGATAATTATTGCGAGTGCTTTAAGTTTTAAGATACATAACTAACACTGCATTTTTAATGTCATAATTTTCGTGCAATTCGAAGAGAAAACACAACCATCCAAGAAATGATTTGTGATTTTTTTTATAAACACATGCAAATTGTTAATGCTAAAATATAACTCGGCCACAGTGGCAAACACCGGCTACCCACCCACCTATGCGCGTGACTCATTTGACCCGATAAAAACATATTTTTTACTAATAATTATGCAAAAACAATTATACAACCCTTGAATTTGAAGTTCCTCAAAAAACAGAGACTTTAAAAAATGCAAAGTGTGATTTGTGACAGTGATTGTAGAGAAACAATTTCAATAATTATTAAGTATATAACTTTTTTTTCATAGGGGCACTCAAATGTTACAATGTAATTTACAAATAAACTTCAATCTCTAAATATTCACTAATATAAACTGAAATATTTACAAGATGGCAAACACATCAAATGTGATGTGCCCATCACTTATACAATATTATGTAGTTATTTACAACAACTATATAAACATTAATTTTAAAGAGCATTTTGCATGTGAGCTTGATCAAATTAATCCCTTGTTCTTTAAAAAACAGTTCGTAGCTGCCATGTGCATATGCGCATGGTCTGTTAATAATTTATGATTAATGTTGTTTAGATTTTTATTTAGATTTACAAAACAAAGTCCTGTAATTGATAATGTTGCAAGACTTCATCAAATATCGCATCGCGGTCAAATTATATCACTACGTAATCCATGTTATTTACGGGAGTTACTACGTGATCATGGCGCTTGCAACAGTGCCAAAATATCGGACACTCGCTAAAAACAAGGGACATGCTATCAATCCCGAAAATAACATAATTTACTATAGTGTCAGTGACCATGAAAGTTTAAAATATATATATATATAGTTATATCACTGTACAAATTTCAGAAGCCCATTTAGCTACAGTATTAGAAATCAGTCTTGCGTCAAAGGAAACAATTGAATTATACTTTTGTACAATATTCGTCACATCAATTTGAACTGCATATTTATACGAATAGTTTTAGAAGTCACATGGTTAATACAAATACTTCGGCTTCACACAAATGATGTCAATTTGGTAGTTTTGTTTTTTTTTGTATAGGAAAACGCAGAATTTCAGGGAATTCCATAGCACCCCAAACATTTATAAGGACCTCACGTACAAATAAAAAATGGACGTTATTTACATAAAGGTTGTTTTAACTTAACAGCAGCAGGGAACACCGGGAGTTCGAGTATAATCACATTTTAATGCTTCATACAACTTTTATGTTTCATTTTATTCACTAGATAAGTCATAAACATAGGATTATATTTAAGTTAAAACATATCTAAACTTACTATACTATTTAAAAAAAAATCTCAACTTGTACTAATGGTAATGTACTAAAATGTTCATTTATACAAACAAAATCCCCACATTCAATGATTATTGCGTTTGTAAATATTTTAGAGGTAAACGTACAAGTTTCAAAAACATACCGCGATAGTCATTGTTTACAAATGGACTTTTATGTTTTCTAGAATAAACCTACCGATTATAACCATATGGCACACTAGTGTTTGACTTATAATCAAACAAAAGGCTAATTTTATTACCAAAAATTTCTGATATTTTTTTACAAAGGAACACGACTAAAATAGTGTCACTTCAGAGGTGAAAAGAGGCAAGAATAGTCAAATTATGCGTTTCATAACAATCATTGGGGTATCCAAATGCATGGTATTTAATACAGGCGTTGGCACTCTGCACTTTAGCGTGGTTATTGCTTGAACTTTTTCTAGAAAATAGGACAATTTTAAAGGCCACCCGTCCGAGGAAGTTACCACGTTAGAGCGCCTCAGATATTTTTTGCAATTTTTTAAACAACAATACTTTTGTGCGTGTTGTTGTTTTTAACTGTAAGTGAGGTTTCCAGAGCGGTACATAAATGTCATAGACATAGGAAATGGACTAAAAGACACTCATATAAAGTTGACAACTCTCCAGAAATAGAGAAACCACATCCAATACATAGACGAACTATAAGCCACTCGATCGGTTTGTCGCTCTCACACTGTTCAGTTTTACTTAACAATTGGTTAAGGAACGCTCAGTCCAATTTCTATGTCTGTGTCAGGGTAGACATCGCGTTAATGATACTGTGGTATCGCAAGGGTCTATGTATGTAGGGTTACCATTTAGGAATTTCAAAAGTCCTGACAAAAATCCTTACATTTCGAGAAAAGTCCGGACTAAAAGTCACAAAATGGTACCATTACTCACTTAGTTACAATGGTATGGTATTTAAATCAATATGTACTTTCATTATTCATATGAAATGTAATTTAAAAAATCCGGACAATTTAAAGATCCAGACTAAGTCTGGACTATAGTCTTAAAGTCCGAACTAATCCGGATGGATGGTAACCCTGTATGTATGTGATGTCCACTTAAAGGCTCTACGCAGTATCCATCTCGCTGGATCGAGCGTGCGAGACAGCATATGCAACAAGTAAAAAAGATATATACATCTCTTTTACAAGTATAGCGCTGTTTCACAAGCAGGATGGATAGTGCGAAGAGCACTTTACCATCAAGCTAACCACATAATTTTACCATCCTCATTACAATAAAAGAAAAATAAGGTGACAAGACCGAGCGCATACTATTATCAGCTTAAAGTCAAAGAGGTCGAACTTTTTAGGCAAATGCGGTATGTCCAGCTAAATCCCCATAGATAAATTACATTACTAACCCGCTGCTGTAACAAAATACGTAAATTTATGGAATTCCCTCTAAATGGCAAATGTAATGGCCTCACTATATTTATAAGATAATTGCAATTTCGATTTAAGTAATACATTTTGATAGCAATTTCTTAATCACCACACTCATCCATATTTCAGTGTGAATATATTTTATTATACTTGTTTACCCTATTCTATATAGCAATCGATCATAGGCCACCATTTAGCATGATGCAAATCACAAGACAAAGATATTAAATATGTTAATTTATCCATTCAAGTAGGTAGGTCTAAGCTACTTATTTGTGGTCAAACATCGACTATCAATTGCTAAATTAAATAGAGATTTAATAATGATTTTTTATTAATTACATTATTGTTTATAATTTTATTTACGCTTACTTGATTAAATTGCATTTTAAGTATACTCCATATACACAGTAGGTATTTGCCTTGTATACAAGTAATGATGCAATTTCACTTGGCTATTCGTATTTGCTTAACACTAGTCTGTTCTTTTTATGCTCTATAACAAATGAAAAGGACAAACACGAATGGTCAAGTGAAGTTCTAGCATAACACTTTCCGTCATCATGAAAACATTTTATGTTATTTTTTCTTCAAATTAATTAAAAGAATAAGTCCAGACAAATGATTTCATAGTATCACTCTAACAAATTGTTTATGTAGAGATCAGATTTAAAAATTCATAAAATTGTTAAAATAGGTATGTATATATTTGTTGATGTAACAGGGTTCTAAAATTAATCGAAAATATATTGTATCTAGATAACAAAAAACTAAATGTGAATAAAATGGAATTTTCCTTACACAAAATCAAAACAATATAAAAATGAAATTGTTGAGAGAAGATTTTAAGTTTTCAATTTAATATGCCCTTAATTTTATTTTATCAATATTATCATAAATTTAATGTGTTGAATTTGGATACAAATAACTTTTTATTTGAGTTTTGTGTTATTTTCAACCACAATTGTTTGTGTCTAATTTATTTTACATATTTTAGTTTTAATCATTATAATGACTTATTAATTACATTGCAATGTATATTCAGATCTGAGAAAGGAAAAATAATTGAAAATATGCTTATGAATAACAAATTAATCATTTATACACCTAGTTATACTGAACACGAGGAAAGGTCACGATTATGGTATAAATCGAAAGTGCAATTACTCTTAAACATACCCATTTAACAATTCACTGTTCCATAATAAGTTAGTCCAATAAACGCACATAACATTAATATAACCGAATATTAAGATCTATGACCAAAACGTCTGTCGTTTGCGATCGTTGCAAGATCGCGGGTGGCGCGCGTACGCGGGCCGGCTCAGGTCACAACTATGCACAAACTCCCGACCGACCTGACACTTTGGTACTAATGGACAGATCGCACGAGGACGTCGGCTAAAGCTACTCACCTCGGCCGCTCACCGGCGGGGGGGCCGAAGCCCGGCGGCGCGGGCTACTTGTCGGCGGGTTCCGGTGGCGCGCCACCGAAGTCTAATTGATAGCCGCCAGCGCGCGTCATTTCCTCCATGCTCGGCTCCTTGCACTCGTGTCCCGCGTGACCGGCCGCCCCGCAGTTGTAGCAGGAGAGCTTCGCGGGTGCGTATAGTACTGGCACGAAGCCTCCGTAGGGTGCGGGTGCGGGGTAGGGGGGAGGTTCGCCGTTGGCGACGCCGGCGAAGGGCGGCGGGGGAGGGCGGTAGGCGGGTGGAGGGGTCGGGTAGGGGTAGGGGCGCGGGTAATGCAGGAACGAGACAGGCGGCGGGGCGGAGGGAGTGGCGCGGCGGGGGGGCGGGGCGGGCGTTCCGGGCGGTGAGGAGGCGGCGCTGGAGCCGCTGTCGGAGGAGGAGCGCGCGGGGGGGCAGTACGCGCCCGCACGCCGCCGCACGCCGTTCAACTTCTCCAGCGAGCGGTAGTGCTGCGCGGCGGTCAGCTCGCGCAACCGATCCTCGCCTATGCTGTGCCGCATCTGTGGTACAAGCCATTTTTTAATGCACCCGTCACACCGCTACCGAAACAGGGACTTAAGACAGAAAAAGACCTCTGCAGTGCGACATAGCGTAGAGATCCTCTCTATGAATGTGAGTGCCAGAGAGAGCGTCTTAATCTACGAAAATATGTGGCAGAAGCCTTATTTGATGCACCCCTCACACCGCTGGCGAAATGGGGACTAAAGACAGAAATACAATTTTACAGTGCCACATGGATCTTTATGAATGTGACTGACAGTTCAGGGAGGGCGCGACTGGTGTCGATTCTGGCATGATTGTCTAAACCTAAACTTACATTTGACAACAGCGTATCCTTGTCTTTCTCTATACTGAATGAAAACTTTTACTTTAGGAAGAATATCAGACTATTTAAGAAGATTTGAATGACAAAACGGCGTGGACATGATTTCTCCATTGTTTTTGCTTTGTAATTGTTTGCAGTGTCCTACAGATAAATTACTTTAATTTTAAGTAAATATGTTGTGGTTGATATAGGTGGTTATGGGTAGTCATACTCTCGTCGGTGTCGTGTGAGGCGGGTCGTTATGTTCCCTAAAATATGGTTGAGCGAAGCGATGGCTGGTTCATGCGTCATGCTCGTGAACGGGTGCTGCCAGCGGAGATGAGTCTGCCCTATCTACTTTGATATTTAAGATGTAAATGTTTAGTTACATCTATTATAAATAACTCTATTTGTATTTATACTGTGTGACACAGCAATCAAAATGCAGGTGAACAATCTATATATATAGAACTCAAAGGTGACTGACTGACATAGTGATCTATCAACGCACAGCCCAAACGACTGGACGGATCGGGCTGAAATTTGGCATGCAGGTAGATGTTATGACGTAGGCATCCGCTTAGAAAGGATTTTATAAAATAGGGAATGAAAGTTTGTATGAAACTTTGTCAATATTAAACCGACCGGGCTGAGACTTTGCATGCAGGTATAAGAAGAATCATAGATGGATGTCATTGTGTATAATACAAGACTAAGAACAAAAACTGTAGTCTACACTTCAGCTCTACACCGAAGCGAAGCGAGGGCGGGCCGCTAGTTAATGTATAATTTCACATTATATAATGAAAGGTGACTTCATGAATCATCTCTGAAGTCATTTTCAACTTGACGACTCTGTAAATGATAAAACAGGGAGAAAAAAAACAGCCTTTGCTGAGTTTCTTGCCGGTTCTTCTCAGAACGAGGTCTCCCGCCATAGATTTACGAACCGATGGAGTAGCTTCTAGACATTCATATGTGCTTGTAACAGCCTAAACGGAATACATGATTTTGATTATGATTAAAAGGAAAGACTGATATTAAATTTAGTTTTAAGTTTAGATAAATATGCCAGAATCGACACCACTGTCTACGTAAATCTGAGACGTAAATGACACACAATATGACGTTTACAAAGACGGCGACGTTAGTTCAAATTTTCACCATATTTATAAAGATCCTTGTCGTACTATAAGTCGCTTTGTGTTTGAGAAACACATTGACGCCACAACACACTATTCCAATGTGTTTCTAAGCAACCAAATGTATGCAACCGATACGCTTCTGACGCGTCACCAAACAAAAGTCTGTTTCTTTATCTCTCTTCACAGAAATGGGCTTAAATGCGATGCAAACCTAATAACCACTGTCGCGGTAAACGAAATTAACCCAAAGTTGCTAACTTCGCAACTGCAAGAGCAGTCCAAGCTTTCAGTAGTAGCAGTAGTTGTTAGAAAGCTTGGATTGCATTGTACGTGTTGTACCAGTCACTATCACCTAGGGCTTGGCTTGATCATTATTAGATATATGTGGGTGCCCGCGACTTCGTAAGAGAGGAAAAATTGGTTTCTCATATAAACTTCTACCCCTCATATCATCCCCTTAAAGGATGATCTCTAGGGTAAACCTGCCTACGTCTTTTCCTGGGACTCGGACTATCTTTATCCCAAATATCATCTAAATCGGTTCAGTGATTAAAACGTGTACAGCTAACAGACATACACACATTTTCGCATTTTATAATATAAGTATGAATATAGATAACAGAACATGATCATATCATGGGTCTCGTCGCTATGGTTTGGCCTCAATGTTGGTGTTTCAAAGCAGGATTTCGTATGTCAGTACGGAGGCAGGTCAATACAGATAATCATAGTAAAATAACACAACATTTTGGTTGTGTTGTGTTTCCGTCGGTGAGTAAGGTTCTAGGGCTCCACGGAGAAAGGGATTGGGTCATGGTAGTCAACAGTGCGAGTAATATTCTTGGTATCATAAGCGTCTATAGGCAATGGTGGCCGCTTACCATCAGGCGGGCCGTAAGCTTGTCTGCCACCCTTTTGACATAAAAAAATGGGTGCGTGTACTTATGTAGGCGCGTGAGAAGTTATCCTTCTTTGGCATCGTTTAAAATTAGTTTTTAATTGCATGCAAATAATTAATTACAATAAATTAATAAAAAGTCTGGAAAAGGACACAGTCAATAAAGTTCAGTTTTAATTTGAAAAAATAAATAAATAATCAAAATATTCAATTAAAATCGCTACTGAATATAATTTATTAGAACATATGTGATTTGCACTTGTATGAAACTCGAACACGTATTCCGAATATACAAATTAGAAACATGTGGATAAATATTATAAATATGAATACCTATAACTGTTACTTTATTACAAAAAATAAAGATGTGGTTTTTGGTTCTACTACACCAATGGTCAAGAGATGGCGCTGTAGTCTCCTGAATCGCGCTTTGGTTCCGTTGTTCCAGATTAATAAATACTTTTTGTTACTTTATTACAAAAAATAAAGATGTGGTTTTTGGTTCTACTACAACAATAGTCAAGAGATGGCGCTGTAGTCTCCTGAATCCGAAGTTCCGTTGTTCCAGATTAATAAATACTTTTGATAGGCCTTCACAATGCAGTCGTTAGCACCCACAAAACAGAGATTCTATTTCTATTTTGTTGGTAGATTTTCTTAATGTGCGGTAAACACAAAAAATTTTTTGTGTTACAGTGATGCGCGCGCATCTTAAAATTTCACTCATTTTTTCATAACGCGCCTAAAGAAGTATAACTTCAAAAAACTTGGTATAGGTACACGACGTGATGCAGGTACTAACGCTAATATATGGAAGCGGGAGTTCGATATATCAGAAAAATCAGCACAAGCATGCTCCGTTGTTACAGACATTTAGAAAGAATATCAAATGAGGGAATAACGAAACATACCTAAGACGCGAAAGTTGAAGAATATGGAAGCGGGGGAAGACCAAGACAACACTATGGCCTGAAATTCAGTGAATGTAGAAACTATACGCAAAACCAATTGGTGCACTAGCCACGCCTATTTTAAAGGAACCTACGTGGGAAGGTGACAAAACCAATGGCTCAAGTTTTCATTTACTGACTACTAGGACAAAGTCGAAAATTGAGGTCTAGCAACATCATTGAGCGCCGTATTTGACACAATACCTACGAGCGAACAAACGATATACAATGATTGCTTACTCTATTTATTAGCACATATCTAAGTTTGTCTACAAAGTCACATGTGTAAAGGGTTACTACACACATCAAAAGTGTCTAGGGATCAAGCATTTTTATGCGGATTTCTTGAGATTGAGATGTGGCTTTGTAATAAATTTATGATTTTATAAATTTATATGGATCCTTTTTGGTGCATTTCATAATTTGAATCAGGAACTGTGAATCAAATTCGAGTAAAAGATGAAAATCAGCTGTCAATTTTTTCCCTATAAAAACATACAACGCATTGAAGACATTATTAGTGCTACTGTTTCCCTACTACTGATTAAAACCAACGTTATTATGGAGCGGCGACGTCATTTAAGCAGGGAAGAAATGCTCAGAGCCGTGGGAATGATAGAAGCTGGTTCCCGGCAACGTACTGTGGCTTTAGCTCTGAATACAAGTCAGAGTGTTATCAGTCGACTTTGGACACGATACCGAAGCACTGGTACCGTGGCTGAGCGCCATGGAGGACGGTATCGCTGCACCACACGGAGACAAGACCGATACATTCAAATCTTAACTCGAAGAGCTCCAACAATAACCGCCATGATGTTAGCCGTGAGGCTTCATCACTCTTCAGGGAACTTAATTAGCGACCAAACAGTCAGAAACCGCTTGCATGAAGTGAACCTTCATTCCCGAAGACCGCTACGGGTACCACCTATAGCAATGCACAATCGTAGGATTCGATATCAATGGGCTCTTGAACACAGAAATTGGGCAGAAGAACAATGGCGTTTCGTGTGCTTTTCTGATGAGTCTCGTTTTGGTATGAGACCGGATACAAGACGTATACGACACTGGAGAACCCCTGGACGCCAACAGCGATTAAAATCCTGCCAGGAAGTCCATCCTTATAGTGGTGGAACCATCATGGTATGGGCGGGTATTTGGATCGGCGGAAGAACTGAGTTGATTTGGATCAGAGGCAACCTCAACGCTCAAATTTATGCTGAGACGATTGTATCAGACGTCATCGTTCCTCTACAAGTGCAAATCGGTCCCTTATTTCAGTTAATGCATGATAATGCACGACCGCACACCGCAAGAGTTGTAAGACAGACTCTCGCCGCAGCTAACATCAATGTCCTGCCCTGGCCTGCTCAGTCGCCAGACTTGAACCCGATTGAGCATGCATGGGATATGCTACAGAGAAGAGCTCTGCCGAATATGGAGGGTATCCAGTCGCAAGAAGACCTTTTTTTGATAAAGTCCGGACATAAGACAAAAAGTCCGGACATTTCCAGACAAATCCGGACAGATGGTAACCCTACATGTGTTGATATACACCCCACGTCTCTTTCCTCAAAAAAGTATAGATTGCTTGCCTGAATCAAAGAAATATTTTCGAAGTTACCTATAACACAGATTATGTAAGCAAGCATTAGGTGATACAGGGCAATAGGGCAAGAATTTCAACACCTAAGGAATTAAGACACTTCTACACAAACCGTCATTGCTTCGATGCGTCTGCGAAACGCGGTCATTTCTCCCCTTCGAAAGCCCATTAATATGCTCACCTCAACTACAGATAGATTTTCGAAGTTAGTCGCAAGATGAGGCAAGGATTGCTGATCGGGCGGCCCAGGCGGCGGTAAGGGCGGCGAGCGGTCGCGCGACAGACGTCTGCGCGCCCGCGGCGATGCGGCGCGACTGTCGCCCGGCGACGAGACTAGCGGTGACGTCGGTGCACCAGGGGCCGGTGGGTAGTTTATCACCTGTAATTAAATAAACAAAATCACTTCAATCTCGTAAAAGTAACTTCTCTTCTCCTACTTGAATATTGGGTGAATCGTCATGTAATGAAACAGTCAAAAACTTAAATGAAATTCTTCCACTCCTACTGTCGGTTTGTACTTTATATGCTTCGTGACCAATCCATCTATCATGTTAGAAAAAAAAAGTCCAAATGCAAGTTGGATTTGGACACAAAGGGTTCCGTACCGACCATTATCTGCAACCATAATATTGAGCAAAAAAACGAGGGCTACCTAAAATAACTGACTTATGAAATAGTTTGTTTCCGAGCTAGACACTGCAACAAATTGCATAAGGAAAAATCAAAAGTACCTACATTATGAATCAGCATTTTCAGTATTTGTTTTGTAAATGCATCATTTTATGTGAACATCATATAGAAAATTTCAAAAATATACTAGTTTTGATTTTGAGATAGGCCATAAAATTTTTCATTTATAGACCATTTAAGAATTAAAACTTTGACAGCCCCCCATTTCATTGTTATTGAAAATTTATAAAATAATATTAACATCCTACTCAAGGAGCCTTTTCTGAGATTTACTTCAAAGCTAAAGCAAGAATTAAGCTGCATTGTTTCATCTATAATTACATTTATCAACATGACATAAGCTAATTTCAGTTTAATGTATGAATTAAAAGTGTTCAAAAAAGGATTAAAAAACTTTTCTATATGGCTATTATACCATAATATGGTATTCATAAATAAATCAACTTTATTCTAGACAAAAAAACAAAGCAATGTTTATCTAGGCAAAAAAAATAAAGTTTCAGTTAATTTTATACAAATCAAGTTTGACTAATAAATTACTATATCACTTCATAATACATACACACACAGCACAGTAGTGCTTTGTTTTGTCTATTTCTCTACAAAAAAATAACATTGGATTAATGTAAATTAGATTTCAAATAACAACACAATGCTTAAACGTGAATGATTTTAAAGTATAAAGGCTGGTCTATAGATTTCAGTCATATTTATCTAAGCTGTAATTTTGAAACGTCTAGGTATGTTTTTAATTTAGGTCAAATCTCTGTTATAGTTATTATAATTATTAATATTATCCATTGAAAGCGACCTGATTTAATGTAAATGTTACTACTTCTACTGATAAGTTTCTTGAGCTCATTTTTCTTATAACTTAAAATTAGTCCTGAAAGGGTTGTAGGTGTATAAGTCAATTTAAATAAAGCATAATTTCATTTCACTTCATTGAACCAATTACATAAAAAAATGTGCTCAAACTTTTACAGAAAGATAAAACAAGCAACACATACCTCCAATGGTTGATTAATTGGTTGTACTATGATGTTTGCTGGCCAACTATGCTGGCCCATATATTCTCCCATGTTGTATTGTGGTATTGGCAGACCTGGAGGTGGATGAGGCACTTCGCTAAGCATGGGCACTACAGTGCCCGTCCCACCAAGCATTGGTGGTGAGCTAAGTTCTTGAGGTATTGCATCTGTGCTTGCCTGAGGCTATAATATAATATCAAGAATATGATCATTATAAAAACATTACAAATATTTCATTTCGGTTATAAGTGTAAAAAAAACCTGCTTAATATTTTGAAAATGAAATGTATTTAACAAACAATATTAGTGTATCTTAATTCTTCAAAATTACTTTAATTAAGAAATTTGATTATTACAAATCAAACTAAATTCATTTATAAATTTTACACCATTTTCATTTATTTCAAACTTTACTCAATCTTAGTGTTACTTGGTTGATTGATACTGAGTTAATCCTGTGAGGAATATGACAATGTCTATACATTTAATATTATTATTTGGACTAAACACCAAAATCAGCACATTTTGCAGTGATTATATCAAAGCTATGAAATTATTTTTACTCAAGTTATTAATATAAGAACTGAGGGATTTCCCATTAGGACATTAACTATGACTAGATGTACAAAGATACACTCACTACTAAGATTTTATGATAGCTGTGTAATTTAATAAAATGACATTGACCTAAAAAAACCACTATGATTTTTGTAATATTGGTATGCGTGAACTATGAGAAAACTCTCACCATGGATAATGATAAACTGATTTTGGTAAATAATGTTAAGCAAAAAGCAATATGATGGCTATGATCATAATGACACTGACCTGCACCCCGGGTGTTTTGACAAACATGATACCAGGTGGAGGCCCCAAGCTAGTTAAATTAGGTGGTGGAACAGACATGTTTGCTGACACACTAGACTGAGTATGGCATGCACTCACAGGAGCTACATTTATGTGTTCTTGTTGCTCTTGAAATTGTATCCTTTGGTCCTCCACTTTCAATTTATCTAAGATTTCACCAAAATGTGACTTCTGGTCAAAAGTGAAAGCTGGATGGTGTAATGCCATGGTGTATAGAAGTAAAATTTCTTCTAACAGATCACCATACAGTCCTTTCAGGAGGCCACTTTGTTCCAAGCTAACCATTGCATTGTACAATGTGGTGGCACAAGCAAAATTACACGAGCGCAGTAAAGACACATATAAAGCCATTTTCCGTCTTGTTCTAGAATCTGTATTGGCTCCTCCGATGTCAGCAGCCAAATCTGTGGGGTTGTTCGCTCTCAATTCGGCACCACGCAACTCCTGAAAGTCCCGCTTGCCGAGCTCTTCCAGGTATGTACCAATAAAACGAAGTTCGAATGGTAAACACATATTTAGTAACGTACACATCGCATCTATGCGTTTATAACTTTCCAATTCTTTAAACCATGATACCACGTCCTCTTTGCAAACCATTTCCAGAACACATTGAAATTTTATGTAAAGAATCAACCGGTCCCCTTCAGCCGTAGCTAAACCGTCGCTTATATTTTTTGGCACACACGATTTTTGTGAAAATCTGATGGTTGTAATCCAAGAATTTTAGATTGTAACATTAGTGAATTTAATGCTTTTATCAGTATTTCCCAAGTAGAAATAGGTATTAGCAACTAGAGGCAATGCTAGAGTTTTGTACCTTCTGTAGTTTATGGATGTCGAAAGCAAGGCAAAGAGCATGCTTTTTGTAGATATGGTACTATAGGGGTTTGATGTCAAATACTGTATAATATTATTTCTTATTACAAACACCATAAAGGTTATAACGTTATAACACAAATCTGTACTTATCTCTCATTTGACACAATGTTCAGTTCTATTTTCCTGTGGAAGCTCTATGGTCGGTATGTTCCTTTTTAGTATTTTTTAGATATTTTGGTAACAGTTCTGAATTCCTCATAGATTTATAGATTAGATTTTTAAATAATGGTGTCGATTCCAGCATGATTCTCTAAACCTAAACTTAAATTTGACAGCAGTATATCCTTGTCATTCTCTATACAGAATGAAAAGGAGAGACTGATGTTAAATTTAGTTTTAAGTTTAGAGAATCACGCCAGAATTGGGCCCAATATATGGTGGCATTTGTATAATAATTGTACGTAACAAGGAAAGTGTGTATATAAAAAAATATAGTTTTGGAATGGGCTCACCAAGTTTCAATTTAATATCCATATTAGATTGATTTGCTTGTTTCTCAGATTGTTTCTAGTTTTCGAAGGTAATTGAAAGACCGAGAAATGTTAATGGAACACTTTTTTGATAAATCTCATATGTCATCATCTTTCACTGCACAATAATTTTATAGACAAGCGTAAAGATAATTATGTTCGAAACATTCAATGACCCAAAGAAACTTTGAGGTGCATAGACAAATATTAAAAATAAATTTATAATTCTCCGCACATATCCCCTAAGGCCGTATACAGAAAGAAAGCCGAAAGCCGATCGGCGCCGATCGGTGCTTATCGGCGCCGATCCTTCCTACATATAGGAAGCCGATTAAAGCAGATCAAGCAAAATGTCGGACTCATCGGACGATGATTTGGTTTTGTTAGAAAATATTTATTTAAAAATGCGAAAAACAGCTATACATCCTATAAATAGAGAAAGGAAACGTTTCGGAGCATACCATCATTTATTTGTAAAAAAAATTAAATTTGATGAACAAAGATTTTATACATATACAAGAATGATTCAAGAAACATTTTATTACATTTTGGATTTAGTGAAAAACCGTTTGATGAAAAATTGGGGCAATTGGCATAAACAACCAATCCTTCCAGAAGAAAGACTTGTTGTCACCATTCGGTAAGTACGAAACAAATAATTTTAGCGCTTAGTTAATAAAAGATAAAGTTATTAGATTTATAAAAAGATTATAACTTAGATTGATTTAATCTAAGGATAATAATTCAAATACAAATTATTTATTATTCGGACCAGCGCGTGTCGGCGCTTATCGGCGCCGATCGGCGCCGGTCCATAGAAAAAGGATCAGCGTCAATAGGCGCCGATAAGCGCCGATCGGCGCTGATCGGCGCCGATCGGCTTTCGGCTTTCTTTCTGTATACGGCCTAAGTATAAACTTTTCCTCAGAATGTTGGAAAGAGTCCATAATGTAACAATATTAGCGGGGGATATTTTATAGAAAGAGGACACACCGCACACGCACGGTTCAAACGGTTAAAAATCTTCGGTTCAGTCAGAAAGGACGGGCGGTACGGGTACCTGAAGTCGCGTTCTCCACTTGGATTAAAACAAAAAGGGTAGATACGGGCACTAGCCTCACAAAAGTGATCCGCATAAATTGTGGCCCAAGACCACAATCGCTTTAGTCACAATTTGACATGCAAATGACGTACATGTGAACGCCAAAAAGAAATATTGCTAATATTTTGTGTTTATATGATAAAACAATGCCTAAGTGTGTTTTTAAAAAGTGCTCAAATTGCTCAAGAACTAAAAATAAAACCCACGTAAAGTAGGTACTTTACTTTCTTAAGTACTATAAAATATATTTTTTCATAAAAATTGCTGTTGAATCTTATTCGGTCGAGGGTCGAGTACTGGTCGCATGATTGGTCGGTAGTGCAGTGACGCGGATCTCGCTGTCTCGTTCGCGCTGCCGTTGAAACTTAACGTGCTGTTTCGTTCGGGTCGGTAATGCAGTGACGCGGATCTCACCGTCCCGTTCGCGCTGCCGTTGAAACTTAAATTGCTGTTTCGTTCGTTCGATTGTATCTTTACAAACAGGTGGATGTGTGAGTGTTGCATATGTAGTAAAGTGGGATCAGTTTTTGTTTGATGCAAGTATGAGCGTACCGTATCTACCCTTTTTGTTTTAATCTAAGGTTCTCCATACATTTTCCTTGTACCGGCACTCACGTTTGGTTTATCCCGTTCATTAAAGATCTAGGGGTGCTGAAAGTATCGATATTGAACTTAGGGCTGTATCGTGAGAAGAAATAATACTAGTAATCGCTCATTCCGATTGCATATAATACATCAATTCAAAAAATTTATATATTTATTATAATAATAAGAAATCGAATAATAGGTGCTGCATTCTAAACATATTTGTGAGTTTAAGGATACTTGTATCAAAATTTCGTTTGAAATTGTGGTTTACCTATGATAAGAACAGATGACACAGCCTTACAGCCTTCAAAATACTAGAAGAAATTCGACAGGGCCATTAAGTTCTAGCTAGCATAGCGGTTAGTGCAACCATCTGAATAGCGGAAGATGCATGTTCGAATCCTGCCTGACACCTGGACCGAGTGCAATCTTTTTCTAGTAAAATATGCACACTAACTTTACCATGATAAACTTTTTGTTCAGTGACGCAGTTTTTATTTAATACCATTAAAAATGTATTTTTTTTTTCATTTAAATCGAAATAGAGAAAATTGTTTTTTATTAGAGATTATAGAGAGCGGAAGATTACTCATTAATAATTTTAACTTTTCGCACATTACTCACTTGATCTATGGAAAAAACATACAGTCCAATTTCGAACCTCCTTCTTTTTGACGTCGGTTCAAAATGGATTTGACATGATTATTAGTAGGAGATACGAAAGGTTTTTGGGAAATCGACCGTAGCCCTCGAAAGCGGCCCAATACAGGCAAAAGTTATGTATGTTTTTTTTTAATTTATGGACTTCGAGTTAAAAATGGTTTTTTATCAAAATTATAAATTATCTGTCAACTTGTTTTGGAATCAAATCTCTTCGGGGGTTAAAATGCAGATGTGGGTTTTATCGATACATTTGTTATACATACTTGCCTTATGGCTTACAATACATACATGTCACCACGAAATTAAAATTGGTAATTGTGGATCCAAAATTTACTAAAAGTAAATTTACTAAATTTACTAAGTATTTGAAATGGATCATTGAAATGAAGTCAAATGAAATCAGTCAAATAGAAAAATAGGATTCTTAATTAAATCGTAAAATAATACATAATATTAGTGAATAAAACTAATGCTACTTTCTATTCTTCATATACTTAGATGAAAAAAATACGACATCTCGTGTTAATCGATGCTTTCTTTTCACTTGCCCATCCCTATTTAACTGTCCAGACATACATCAGATTGGCAAACCGGGGGTTCCCACGACGGATGGCAGTTTTTGCATGTGATTTTCGATCAGGGTACATACGAGACGCACCTGAGCCTAGGAGGGTTGCCAGACTTTATAAAATTACTCCAGATTTTTTTTTTATAAATTAAAGGCAAAAGTCTACATGCATTCTTTATTTAAGTCTAAAGTTCCTTTAAAGTCAAATTAATATTTGGAGTCGGTGCAATGCATGTTCGATAGATCTGAGTTTCCATTTGCTACTAGAGTTGGCATGACACCGACACCAAATATTAATTTGACTCTAAAGATACATTAAAGTCACATTAATATTTGGACTTCAGTAAAGTAAGCGTAGAGTTAAGTAAAGAAAATGCATTATTTTCTCATTTTTAGTGGTTTTCTTCTTATGCAGTTTTTATTTTTTTTAAAAGGATTTTTTCCGTCATTCAAATTATGGAGAAACTTAGAGAAAAACTGTCAATTTATTTAAAAAGATATAAAAAACAAAAAGAAAACCATTTAGGGCCCAAACAATTATTTTTATCTCTACTATATTGTTATCTTGCTATACCACCTTGTTTTGCCCAAAAAGGTAATTTTTACAAATCAAAACAACAAAATATACGGCCCAAAAATATTTATTTTAGTTCAGAAAATGATCGGTGCATAATGCATTCATTAAGGTACAAGTCCGAACTGAACCGTAGACCACAGGCCGCAGCTGCGGATTGCAGGTGACACTACTAGTTTCTATGAATCTCTATGATAATGATTCCGAGCGCGGCGACATGCCGCAGCTGCACAATATATGCAATATTATGCATGGTCAGCCGCAGACGCTAGCGGCAGTGTCGCCTGCAGTTGTAGCCTGCAGCCCATTGCAGAATGATTGTACCTTTACATGTAAATAAATTATTTTAAAATCATTTTCCCCAAGTATTAAATTTTCCCTTTCATACCACCAAAATGGCAACTGAGAACATTGGCCATATTGCAACTGATGAGCCGCACATGTACGATTTTGTTCGGACGGTCAAAAAATACATCGTTTGGTTTGATTAAATACAAAAAACAGCAAGAAATCACAACAACAAACAAATCCGTATCAATACAAAACATTGACGTTTGACAGATGGCTGGGTTTTATTGCCATATAAAAATCTTAATTTTACTTCCGTTTTTCGCCACGCCCATTCTCTTTCCGTCAGACTCTATTATCGAAGCTGTAACCTCTAAAAATATAGAACATGGCAAAAAGATGAAAAACATATAGTGATGTCGATTCTGGCATGATTCTCTAAAGCTAAACTTAAATTTGACAACGGTGTATCCTTGTCGTTCTCTATACAGAATGAAAAGGAGAGACTGATGTTAAATTTAGTTTTAAGTTTAGAGAATCACGCCAGAATCGGCACCAATATGTGTTTAAATATCTACTTTATTTTTAAAATAAATATATTTTAGCTCTTCCAAGCCTTTTTTTCATTTCTGATAACGCTTTTGCTGGCAAAAATCTGCTTTAGGCAAAATATAGTAGTTTCGCCTTATATATATTTTTTGAAATATAGTATTTTATCCCCTAATATATCTATATAAACAATATATTTATATATTAATGGTGTCGATTCTGGCGTGATTCTCTAAACTCAAAACTAAATTTAACATCAATCTCTCCTTTTCATTCCGTATAGAGAATGACAAGGATACGCTGTTGTCAAATTTAAGTTTAGATTTAGAGAATCGTGTCAGAATTGACACCAGTATCCTACTATATTATATAGTAGGGTTGGCAACCCTAACTTTCGCTGACCTAAAACTGTGAAATTTGTGTAAATTATAAGACGAGGCGCAGCAAGTTACAAGTAAATGGAGCCCAGTCACTAAGAAAGCTGAGACGGAAGAAAAGTGTGTCGCCCAATCCATACGCATTTTGCTAGCCTGAACTCAGTCCCCTACCTCGTGGAACCTTCTTGAAGACATGCTCACCAATAGAAAAACTCAATACCACCAAAAGATAGTGTTATTTTACTGTGGTCTTCTTTATGGTGGAAGTCCCAGGCCCTCTACTCTAATTAGAGCAGAACATCCCATTTTACACTTTTCGCTGCTTTTGCTCTCTATATTTTGTAATGCAAATTATTAAAAAAAACTGAACTAATTTACTAAAATTTAAGACATATTTACAGCCTGTGAAGATATCGAATAATACTTAAATTGTATATTTAATACAAACATAACTACGCCTTTTTGAAGTTAGGTAAAATACCATGCACGTTTTAACAGCTATACGGGACGTAAAATCCGAGAATATTCAATCCGTCTGTGAGTGAGGTTCATCCGATGAATCGAATCAAGAACCTGATATGTGCCACCCTTAGTCATGAAAGAGGACGAGTGAGCGATATAGTACGGACTTTTTTTATCACTTTAAAATGTCCATGCTTTTTTATAGCAATGACGAAAGCGAACACGAGATCTTACTCATAGAATAAAAAAACTAAGATTATTATTTTATATTAATAAATTTAAAATAATCATTCTAAGATCTAACTCGGGGTTGTAACATCCTAAATTTATGGTTATTATTTATGTGTGAATTCAAAAGAAGACAAGGGTCTTCGCTGCGACTATCTCACAGTGCTCGGGCTTTTTTTATATATACAGTGGTGTAGATTCTGACATGATTCTCTAAATTTAAAACTAAATTTAATATCATTCTCTCCTTTTCATTCTGTATAGAGAATGACAAGGATACTCGGTTGTTAGATTTAAGTTTAGGTTTAGAGAATCATGCCAGAATCGACACAAGTGTGAGTCGCACTGTGCGACCAAGATTTGTAGCACTTAAATAGATGATATTAACAGGCGGGCACTACTGGTGAATGGGATAAAATTAGTTTATCTATAGTCGCGAATCGCACGATATGATAGCCGTTTTGACACATTCCAATAGTGACGAGAAAAGTGAATTTGTTATCGAAAATATCTAATATAATTAAATGAAAGTCACATCTATGTATTAAAAATTTAAAATTTTAACCAATATTGAAAGAAGTTACAGATAATAAATTTTGAACAAAACAAAACATTAATGTTTACTCACACTCTGCGCTCCTATATGTAGCGATATTATTGATTTCATGTTTTTACATTTTGAATTTTGAAAAATACAAATTCCAAGTTACTTGTTAATTTAATTAATAAAGTACTTTATTTATGTTATAAAACCTATTTTTGGTTTATATAGGTACCTAAACGTTTGTTTTTAATCTAAAATTTAAATATGTGTCAAGTCAGCTGATTTTACTTGTCAATTAAAACTCTTGCATCACGCACGTACAAACTTTTATTTCTATAATTATACAACAAAATCGTTATCAGCACGACAACATTATTACTGACGCTTCCACTGGTAGAAGGTTGTGGTTCCTCGTCACTTGTTGCCAAAGTAGTTTCGACGGGTGAATTACTTAAAAATAAAGGTGTGTATAAATCATTAGTTGAAACCTTAGACCTATTATTATTACAACTATCTTTTAAACAACTAAAATGGTTCTCAAAAAAATTTATATCCCGTGCTTTAATCATTTCCTGGGAAAAGTACTATCACGAAAATAGTAACTCTCAGTATTATCTGAATAGAAGCTTTGAAATCGAGCTTCTTTCTTAAACAGTCTGGAACATGGACTAAGGCTCTACATCCAAATACTTTAAGATGTGATAGCTCCATACCACATTTCATAAGGAGTTCGGCCTTCGAGGGCGCGATGAGGAGATCTATTTTTAAGATATACTGCTGTATCCAACGCATCCTCCCAGTAGGCCCGAGGCAACGCAGCTTCTGATAACATACAACGTGCCTTTTCAACAAGTGTACGATTTGTACGTTCAGCCACCCCATTCTGTTGAGGGCTGTAAGGAACAGTGGTCTCATGCACTATACCCTGCGAACATAAATAATTATCCAACTTCCTATTTACAAATTCTGTTCCGTTGTCAGTTCTCAGTCGTTTGATAGTACTTCCCGTCTGATTCTCAACAAAGGACTTAAAAGCAACAAATATTTTCTTTACATCATTCTTCGATGCAATAAAATAAGTAAATATCATCCTTGAATAGTCATCTACCATGGCTAAAACATACTTATTTCCCTGAAAAGAGGTTGAAGACATAGGTCCACACAGATCAGCATGTATCAATTCTAAAATTCTTGTAGCTTTCCTATAAATAAGCCGCTTAAACGGTTTCCTAGTTGCTTTACCTTCAACACAAGGAACACATGGTTCTTTATTGACCTCCTTATAATCTATGCCAGTTGCCATTCCCTTTTTAAGTTGATCCATCCCTATACGACATAGATGGCCTAAGCGCCTATGCCAAAGATGGTAGGACTGGTCAAGGAGCACATTAGAAGCAACTAATTTTCGGGGCATATTAATTGAACAATCTAAAGTGTACAACCCTCTAGAAACATGACCACGCATTACAAGATCTCCGCTACAACTAAAGTTTTTATAAAACTTACAACCTTTATTATCAAAAACACTAATTATACCATTTTCAGCTATTTTCTTAACAGAAATTAAATTACAGTTTAAATTAGGAACAATAGCAATATTCTTCATGTTACCTTCACAGTTCGGAGTATCAAATTTCATGTCTCCAATACCAGTGCAAATTATTTTATCACCATTGCAACGGTGACCGACTCGTTTCTAGAATTATTGAAATACCTCACATTTTCCATATATTCAGTATTGCAGCTCATATGATTTGTGGCGCCGGAATCAATAAACCATTTCGTCGTTGATCGCTCTGAATCGACTTTATTGAGTGCAGTCAATGCCACATTTGTCTTCTTCTCCTTCTTATAAGGGCAATCGGGACGTTTGTGACCTGGTTCATGACAATCATAGCAATACACTTGCTTCTTGTGCTTTGAAAACCTCTTAGTTGGTTTATTCTCTCTTCCACTATTTTCACAGGATGTACGTAATGCCGAAGTAGACGGATGATCAAACCGTTTAGAACATTCATTCAGTAATCTACCCTTAACCAATTCAGTTGTAATCTGGACATTTGAATTTTCCAAAGCCATTATCATAGGTTCATATTGAGGACCCAATCCTCCGAGCAGTATTGCTCCGATAGTGGCATCTTCTATTTTTACACCAATATCTATCAAGGCTTATGCAGTTCTCAACACTGCGTCAATATACTCTTCGATATTGTTATCAAAATCTCTAAGGGTGTATCTGTACAGTTTACGTTCTAAAGCAAGTCTTCTACCCATACCTCTATCTTCAAACGCAGCGGCCTAAGAGTCTCATGCTTGTTTTGCAGATTCAGCCTGCCGAACATGTGTCACAGCGGGACCTTCCAAAGTCAGACAAATTTTGGATAGAGCTTTTTGATCATTTGCGATCTTTACGGTAGTAGGCGTAACGTCATTTTCAGGGTAACCAATTATCGTTTCCCACAAATCTTCGTGCAGTAGGTACATTTTCATTTTGAATTTCCAGTCGGAATACTCATTTCTACAGCTTAAAACTCTTATCTGCTGAGACAAAGAACCCGTTGCTCTATGAAGAGACTTACTTGTTGTTACACTTACGGGTGTGATGGAATCACCGTCTCCGGGCATATTTCAAAAAATATTCCCTACACCAGGCCAGATATTGCGTACACTGTAAGTTACTTGAGTCAGTTCAATACAAAATATAGTAATAGGCACTGGACTGCTGCTAAACGTGTATTTCAATATTTGAAAGGTACTATTATTAGGTAATCATGTAATAATACTAAGGTAGGATCATGGTATTACTTACAGGAAGACGGGTGAGTACCTTAATGGTTTCGCGGATGCTGATTGGGGAAATTGTGCTGCTGATCGTCGTTCCTATACGGGGTTCTTTATGCAATTAGCCGGTGGTCTGATCTCTTGGGAGTCAAAGAAACAACCCACCGTGGCTCTTTCGTCGACGGAAGCGGAATATATGGCTTTATGTAGTGCTACCAAAGAGGCAATATTTTTACGCAGATTCCTTTATGAAGTTACAGGTAAGCAAAATGAAGTTGTTATCTGTAGTGACAAAATATAGCTACCAATCTATTTATTATAGTAGGACAAAGCATATTGATGTACGGTTCCATTTTATTCGCGAAAAGATAGTTGACAAGATCGTTACTGTAAAATACGTTCGTAGTGCGGATATGACTGCGGATATATTAACAAAACCTTTAGGTAGAATGGCACATAACAAGTGTATAAATAAAATGGGATTAGGTTAAATTGTTTTTGATACCCATCGTTTTATTTTGTTGTTGTTATGTAGCTATAGTGTTTTATTTGTATAAATTTTAGATTAAGTGGGGCTGTTATAAAACCTATTTTGGTTTATATAGGTACTTAAATGTTTGTTTTTAATCTAAAATTTAAATATGTGTGAAGTCAGCTGATTTTACTTGTCAATTAAAACTTGCATCACGCACGTACAAACTTTTATTTCTATAATTATACAACAATTTAACTCTTTTATATAATGTTGAGTTGATTTATTTATATCTAATTATATTAATATTTGTATGATATAACATGCGCATCTCTAATGACAATGAAGAACAGTAATTATTTTTTTCGAATGTAATACTAATTTGAAATTTCGAATGTGAAACTTCTTGAACGCACAAACGTCAAACCGGCCATCATAGCGTGCCGCTACTATAAGTACGTAAAATCTCCTCACTAAAGGGAACGTCATAATTTATAATAACTCAAAAAGACCCTCATCTAATAAAAGACCATAAAATTAGTTCCGATTTCGGCCACTCGCCATAAGATCTTGGTCGCATCTTTGATGTATAGTGTATACGGCGCTTAAGTATTCAGTTGAAAAAGTGAAGCTCAAATTGAATGAGAATTCGATTTAATGTCACATCACTTTTGTAGTTACACGGCGCTTTTTTGACAATTCTAACAAAATCTGTAATCTGTGAACATGACATTTTAATTTTGTGTGAAACTGAAAACAGTACAGTAAAATTGAAATAACTCTGAAATATTTCAAAAATAAAATACCAGCCATGGCTCCAATTGAGCAAGATGTGGAAATGAAAAATGTAGAAAGTCCTGCAGCCACCAGTGACGTGGAAATGAGTGAAGTGAAAAAAGATGCTGATGTACTAAGCGTCCAGGATCTAAGGGAACATGTGAGACAAATCGACAAAGCAGTGACCTCTAAAGAACCAAGATTTGCAATGAGAGTTCTTCGATCTCTCCCAAGTACCAGAAGGAAATTAAATGGTAATGTTTTACGTGCTATTATAAATCAACTTTATCCATCAAGTAGCGACAAAGAAACTCTGCTTACTTTTGTTGAAAACCCATTGCCCAATGCAGTAGAAATAGAAGCTCCGCGATCGAGAAGTGCTCCGAAGGTACCAGTACCCGAAGTTGACGTTTATATTCATCTATTGGTTCTGCTTCGTTTGTTAGATACAAACAAGTTAGAGGAAGCCACCGATTGCTCTCAGCAATTGATGAACAAAGTCACTGCTCAGAACCGCAGGACTCTTGACTTAATTGCTGCCAAGTGCTATTTCTATCATTCAAGAGTCTTTGAATTGACAAATAAGCTGGATCTTATTAGAGGATTACTACATGCTCGTCTTCGCACTTCTACACTCCGTAATGACTATGAAGGCCAGGCTGTCCTTATAAATTGCCTGCTGCGAAACTATTTACATTATTCATTGTATGATCAGGCAGATAAATTAGTAAGTAAATCTGTTTACCCTGAAAATGCAAGCAACAATGAGTGGGCAAGATTTCTGTATTATTTGGGCAGAATAAAAGCAGCTCGACTTGAATATAGTGATGCTCATAAGCACTTGGTACAGGCCCTGAGAAAAGCACCTCAAACTGCTGCTGTTGGATTCCGTCAAACAGTACAAAAATTAGCCATTGTTGTGGAATTGCTTCTTGGAGATATACCAGAACGTGCTATTTTTAGACAAGCTCCACTCAGAAAGGCTTTGGCACCATACTTTCAGTTAACCCAAGCTGTGCGTTTGGGTAATCTCCAGCGATTTGGAGAAGTATTGGAAAATTATGGACCACAATTCCGCATTGACCATACATTCACTTTAATCCTCCGTTTGAGACAGAATGTCATTAAGACAGCCATTCGCTCCATTGGATTGTCATATTCTCGTATATCACCTAAAGATATTGCTAGAAAACTGGGGTTAGATTCTGCTGAAGATGCTGAGTTTATAGTCGCAAAGGCCATTCGTGATGGAGTTATTGAGGCTACACTCGATCCCGAAAAGGGATACATGAGTAATAAAGAGAGCTCTGATATTTATTGCACCCGTGAACCTCAGTTAGCTTTCCATCAGCGTATCTCGTTTTGTTTGGATCTTCACAACCAGAGTGTGAAAGCTATGCGGTATCCACCCAAGTCTTATGGCAAAGAGCTTGAAAGTGCAGAGGAGCGCCGTGAAAGAGAACAACAGGATTTGGAACTGGCTAAAGAAATGGCTGAAGAAGATGATGATGGATTCCCTTAAACAGTTTATTTAAACTAGAGTAATATCAAACAGTTTATTTAAACTAGAGTTCTTTATCAAACTGTTTTGTATTAACACTATAATGTTAGTTGCTAATGCTTTGTGGATTGAATTATATTCCTGTCTAATAGAATTGTGGTTTTCTTTCAAGTTGCCTATTTTATTATCACATCATTAATACCTATGTTCTTTTGTTTTAATATAAATTATTATTACTTATATCATAACAAATAGATAAAGTGCTTTTTTAAATTTTATTATTATATTTTATGGCCTGTCTACAAACAAATATTTTGAGCTACTTAAATGTTGCATGATTTGTTAAACATCCAAAATCATTATACCAAGTTGTTACAGCTGACTAAGTGTAACCAACAAAAATCTATAGGTTTTTTTTTTATGCTTTTTTGGAATTTTGTCCCTGTAGCATGAGCACCAATTTACGTTATAACACGTTTTTTTATCGGGTCTTACTATCAAACTCCATAATAATTTGACAATTGAGCATGATAAAAACGCGTTAAGTATTATATCGCGGTACTCATGCTAGGGAGGCATGTGTTTGTGTTTAACTCTTGCGATAAAAGATATACCTGGTAAGCTTTAACGCAAGCTACAATAAGCCTAAAGAAATTAATATATAAAAACACTTAAAATACATAATGAATTATTATTACACGAATACAGGTAATTACAATTTAACACTAAATACAGTGTAGAGAGTTACACTATTTTGCAAAACCAAAGGAAACCAACTAAGGAAAATCACGTTCTAAGGTCGATTTCAGTTAATTAAATGAAATTTGTTTGACGTAGTCTGAATACCTACTTATAATCGTGTAAATTAATACGCGTGAAGTGAATTCTGACATTTTTTTTATTAATTTTCGATGGATTCTTTAAAACAGATGTACACGGCCAAACAATAAGAAGCCGGAAATAAAGATAAGAATTTTTCTTTTTTTTTATTAAATAAAGTTACAAATGTAAAAACCTAATAACGAGGTTGACCTCCTCTTGCCAAAATCACAGCTTAAATCCTTCTGGGCATGTTTTCCACAATGTTTTGTACTGTTCTGCAACCTCTATTTTTTTAACTCCCTGATGTTTAGTGGTGCAAGTTGCACTGATCTTACCAGTCTCTTTAGAACATCCCAGACCTCAATTGGGTTGAGGCCAGGGCAAGCCAGCTTGAGCCAATCTAAACGGCGGATCCCAACTTCTTGCATGTAGGTACGCTTCTACGTACAACGGTGGGGACGAGCATTGCTGTCCCTAAAAATGGAATCTTCCTCAACTACAGTCAATGCGGGTTCAGCAATGGAATTAGGACTTCCGTCATGTACCGGTGTGCATTTAATGTTCCATTTTCTATGAAAGCTAACTGCGTAAGCTCCGTCTAATTATTTAAAAAATAATTAGACTTGTGTTAATTGCTGCTCAAAACATAACGGAGTCTCCGCCATAAGGAGTGATTTCTTCGAAACACACTGCCGCATAACGTTTTCGTGGTCTTCGCAGCACTCGCCAGCATCGCGTGTCTGTCTTCTCCATACAAAGAGATTCTAGCTTCATCAGAAAACAATACTTTATTCCAGTCCTCCCAGAGTTCATGAAGCACAGTTTCGAACAAAAGTCGAGCAACACGGTGCTCACGGAGTGATTTAGGGCCCCGGGCTGCAAAGCATTCAAATTCAAATTCGTCTGCAAAGCAATACGGTCGACGAAAAGTGTCTGGGAGTATTGGCGACTTATTTTTAAGGATATTGCCTAAAATATTCATGAAAATCAGCTTGGAGAATTTACGTGAGGTACGTAATGTTTTTATGTAGGGGAGAGTGGGGATATTGCGGACACCTAAGGGAATCCTTAAATAAAAGATAAAGTATAATCTCAAATCAGTCATTCTTTATTAATTAATAATTATTAAACTTTGGTCTTTACATTATGAAATTATAGATATAAATATTAAAAACTAATTTACTTCAACATTCTTTTATCAAAAAAAAACCCTTGCTGTCCGTATTTACCCTGTAGGCTTCGAGTAAATACTGACAGCATGTGGGGTGATTACGAATGGCACTGTTATTGCAGTTGCGACATTAAAAAAAGTTTGAAACGCAACAATAATACAAAAAAATAATGAACTTGCAGGAAAGCCAAAGGGGAAGATCTTCGTGTTGAGGAAGTGGATCGTAGAAAGGAAAGACAATCAGCTCGTAATATTTAGTTTATGTAGTCCCAATCACATTACATTTTTTTAGGTATACACCGTTGACGTATTTGCAAAAGTCCTAGAATGAAGTAACGGTGACATAGAGAACAGGCCATCGAGTCGCCCTAACAAGAAGGTTTTACATAAAATCATATCTTCAACACACCTCCTTGATTTTATAGAAAACAACAAAAAAACAACTTAATACCAATATAACAACTTAACATAATAAATAAATCACTTAACAAAAGACTATCTGTCATTAACATTTCATTTGACATTTGCCAGTTCTCTAAGTTTTATAAATTTATTTTTTCCTAATGCCTTGGTCAATATATCCGCTAATTGTTTTTCTGTATGAACCTTTACTATATTAATAATACCCTTTTTCTCATAGTCATATACGAAGTGGTAGCTTATGTCAATATGCTTAGAATTTTTACAAAACTTTCCGTTCTTTGACAACGCAATAGCCCCGCTGTTGTCTTCGTAAATTTTTACTGGATCCCTAATCTCAACGCCTAAATCGCATAACACACCTATTAACGGAAGTACTTCTTCAACACAGTCTGCCAAAGCATAATACTCGGCATGAGTTGATGCTCTTGACACTATTTTCTGTTTATGTGACTTCCACATGATCGGATTATTAAAAACTCTTATAAGGATTCCTGTCGTCGACTTCCTATCCGATTTATCTGCGGCCCAATCAGCATCTACATAAGCGTCCAATTGTTCTTCGTAGTCGGCGTCATAATTCATCTTTAAATGTCTCGTACAGTAAAGATATTTGAGAACTCGCAAGGCATATTTGAAATGAGTATCACTATAAGCATTTTGGAACCGACTCAAATAGTTTACGCTATAAGATACGTCTGGACGTGTTCCACTCGCAACATACAGAAGAGCTCCAATCAAGTTTCTATACTTTAACGTTGCACTGACATCTTGACTTGGTTCAATGCTTAAATTCATTTCCATTGGTGTCTCAAAGTTCTTTGATTCGATTACGTTATACTTTTCAGCTAAACTTACAATGTATTTTTCCTGGCTTAAAGTCATTCTGCCTTCTTTTGGTTCAAAAACTACATCTATTCCAAGATACTGTTTTACTTTGCCCAGATCTTTCATTCGGAATCTATTGTTCAATAGCCTTTTAACTTCGTCAATTGCCTCATTTTTCTCCCCACAAATCAAAATATCATCCACATACAGACATAGATATATATTTACATTATTTACACACCCTGTATACAAACAATAGTCATAGTCTGACCTATTAAAATTAATGCTTGACATGAATTCGTGAAAGCATTCATACCAATCACGTGGGCTTTCTCGCAATCCATAAAGAGCTTTTTGTAGTTTGCACACTTTATTATTCTCTGTACAATATCCATCAGGTGGGTAAATATAAACTTCAGACTTAATACTCCCATTCAAGAATGCTGTCTCAACGTCCATTTGTTCAATGTTCCATCCTCTTACACATGCAATTGATAATAAAGCTTTCATTGTCGTCATTCGCGCTACTGGTGAATAAATTTCCTCGTTTTCTTCATACATCTGTTGGAAACCTCGTGCGACTACTCTTGCCTTATACTTTCCATTCGACTTGATCCTAAAGATCCATTTAACATCTATTATTTTCTTATTTTCAGGTCTCTCAACTAAAATCCACGTTTCGTTCTTTTCCAAACTGTTCAATTCCTCTTTCATTGCATCTTTCCATTTATTTACATCCGGACTTTTTATTGCTTCATCATACGTATCTGGTACCAGTGCATCACTAAAATTTATATATACAACATGATCTTTATATTTCTCTGACATTTTTCTATCTCTTTTTGGTCGGATATCCGTCACCTCCTCAGTCACAGCTCTACTTGATTTTTCCTTTGAGTCATCAACACTATCATAAAATTCTTCGTTTTCATCAGTTTCATCTTCAGTATTTACTATTTTTATTATCTGTTCTTCTTTCGTACCTATAAATGTAACGTGACGACTAATGACTATTTTTTCATTTATTAATACTCTGTATCCCGTATCTGTGTATCCTACTAATATACCTTTTGTAGCCTTTGGGTTAAGTTTTGATGTGCGTAATTCGTCTGGAATTCGTACATAACACTGTGATTCGAAATTTTTTAAATTACTTACATTTGGCTTCCTCCCCATAAAAATTTCGTACGGTGTTTTTTTCTCATACGTATTTGTTAATATTCTATTACCTAGATATGCTGCAGTCATAACGCATTCAGGCCAATATTTCTTATTTATCTTTGCTTCTGTAAGCAGACATCTCGCTCTCTCCATTATGGTTCGGTTAAATCTTTCAGCTACACCGTTCAACTCGTGTGTATAAGCTGGCCCTGGTTTTAAATAAATACCTTTTTGCTTTGTGTAAGTGTAGAAATCGTTGTTAATATATTCTCCGCCATTGTCACATCTGATTTCTTTCACTCTCTTACCTGTTTGATTTTCCACCATATTTACATAATCTCTAAAACAATTCAAAACATCACTCTTGTTATTAATTAAGCATAGATAAGCTAACCTACTATAGTCATCTATGAATGACACAAAGTATCGTTGCCTCTTATATCCAGTGGGCGTAATCGGGCCTGCCACATCCGTGTGGATAATCTCTAACAAGTCTGTTGCCCGTCGTCTTTGATTTCCAAAAGGTAGATTTGTCATTTTGTTCATCAAACAAACTTCACATTGCACGTAACCCTCGCCTAAAGTGATAGGTAACCCATCTACAACCCTATGCCTGCACATTTCATTTAGTTTCTTAAAGTTAGGGTGCCCAAGTATTCTGTGCCATTTTTCTTTTTCTGACATAATGTTACCACTTGTGTATGCTACTGTACCTGCACCTAAATTAACTCTGCCATCTAATTCGTACAATTTATTTTTCTTGCGTGCGACGGCCATTAAACCTATATGTACATTATATATATTTGCTATTTCTCCTCTAAATTGAATTGTATTATTTCTATTTACAATGCATGAAACGCTTAATAAGTTCTTTTTCATATTTGGAACATAATATACATTTGAAACATCAATTTTATTTGACTTACCTCCTGCTTTACAGTACATTGTTACATTTCCTATTTTCTCCGACTTAAGACAAAATCCATCACCTACCTTAATATTCACAGGTGTTTCTAAAATTTTATAATCACGAAAGAATTTATCGTCATTTACGATGTGATCGCTACATCCGCTGTCCAATAACCATGTTATATCCGCTTTCGTTTCAGTAGCTCCTGTCATCGCTTCTACTTCTACGTTGAATCCAAATCCATCACTGGTGCTGCTACTTTGTCCTGTATTCACGCTTCTATTGTTGTATCCTCCTCTATATCCTCTGTGAGTTCCTCGTCGTCCGCCTCCATATCCGCGTCCTCTACCACGACCATGACCACGACGTGCTAACTTAGGACAATCCCTCCTGTAGTGTCCTGGGCGGTTGCATTCAAAGCAGTTATCATTATTCCTGGACCCATCTTGGTGTTGATTTGATCGAGAACTGAACGTATGAGCTTCTTGTTCGTTCTGTTTTCTTTTCATTTCAAGTAGTAATTTGGACTTCACGTACTCCACTGTCCGATCCTTTGTCGGCATCGCATCAACAATATTTACAATATGTGCAAAACTCTCAGGTAATGCAAGCAATATATAGTTCAGTCTATCCTCTTCCGACACGACTTCTCCAGCATTTTTCAATTCATTGATTTGTTTTTCAAATGTTTGTATGAATTCTAGTATATCGTCGCCATCTTTGAATTTTGTTTCTAGTACTTTCCTTTTAATTAATAATTTATTAGCACTGCCTTTTACTAAATACATCTCGTCAAATTTTTTAATCATCCCGTAAGCCGTACTTTCATTCATTATTATATCGAGCTGAGTATTATTTACGCTATTCACTATAATATTTCTAGCCTTTAAATCAATTTTTCTCCATTCTGTGTCTGCCATACCTTCATGTTTTATATCATTTTCCACAGCTTCTTGGCATTCCTTCATTTGTAACAACAACTTTAATCTAAATTTCCATTTTTCGTAATTTGCACCATCAAATATCTGAATGCCTACTTCTCCTATCTTTACTTCCATTTTCGGTACCTTACGTCTTCAATTGTTTCGGTACTGACCTTGTCAAATAATTTCCACTTATCTTCCTCTTTCTATTTATTTTATTCAACAACGCTCCTTTGCTACCATGTTGAGGAAGTGGATCGTAGAAAGGAAAGACAATCAGCTCGTAATATTTAGTTTATGTAGTCCCAATCACATTACATTATATTGTAGGTATACACCGTTGACGTATTTGCAAAAGTCCTAGAATGAAGTAACGGTGACATAGAGAACGGGCCATCGAGTCGCCCTAACAAGAAGGTTTTACATAAAATCATATCTTCAACACTTCGATCTTCCTCCGAGCTGGGTGATGGTAGCTCGGGGGCCGCGGCCCGACTGATGTCGGTCGGGCATCTTTTATATGAAGAGTTAGCCTCCGAATTTCATTTGCGCGATGTAGGCTTCCATACTAATATTGATCGCAGTGCAGGTAACGCCATCTCTTGAGGATGGTGAGTAATGATTTCCTTCATCCGTTGTATATCTGTGGGGCATATAGATGTCGCCGCCACAAACTATCATTATTTGTCGCTACAGAAGTCGCAAATATAGCCTCGGCTTGTACTCCCTGTGCAATTGATATGTGCCCATATCTAATGCGACACGATACTTCCGCATTTTCCCCAAGACAACAGTCGGTAATTAACCCAACTGGAAGTCAATATTTTGCGGCAAAAAACTGGGTTAGATAATAATAGTGATAGTTTATTATTCCACATTTTCAGAGGTGATTAACAGTATTAATACATATCTTCTACAGTTTTTAAGTTAAATAAATATCATAACATTGACACGCAACTATAAACGAACAAAAATAACAAGAAACCACTTCAAAATAAAGCATTAATCTTATCTTAAGAAGCGCGCGGCCTCCCGTGTTGACATCAATCCGGGCACTAAATATGACCAACTCGACTTCGTTATGAAAGTGGCGGGGCGCGGGGTTGGCTAGAGCAGCCAATACAACAGTGTCCGCATTTACCCGATGTCCGTAATTACCCCACTTTCCCCTGAATACCTGATACCGGAAGCTTCTAGCTTCCTTCCTTCTTCTTCGGATCTTAGCAAGCTAGCAGGTGGGCATGCGTTCTTAGTACATACTAACATACTCAATCGTCCACATTTCCTTCCTCAGAAAATACGTGACATCTGTTGGCCCTTGGATCTTGGACTTTATAGCAATTTACAACAAAGACTTTATATAAAGTCTTTGATTTACAACAATCCACAATTCTTATTTTTTCAACACATTTGCTCAAAAAATGCATTTATGGAGGTTGTGTTGTCTTCTCACTTTTATACTAAAACAAAAAAAGAAACGAAATTAGAAAACGAGATTAGAAAACTAATTTTCACCACCCACAGGTGGCGCCATTTGGAAATACTGGAACATATCATGTTACCATAGTAACTGTCTATGTAAAGCTTTCAACTTTTTGGCAGATAACCAGATATTCGTTCAATTTTTCTGGTCGTATATATTGAAAATAATTGTGAGAAATGGTTGAGTTCACCCCATCGAGTATGGAGAAGTTAGCGGAGCTGCTTAGGCCCCCAGAACCAGAAGTGTATCAAGGAGAACATTGGAATGTATCTAGTAAGATGCTTGGTTTTTATGATGTTTGTTTAGTACAAAGGTTGTAAATTAGACCTTATTTATATCTATAGAAAAGGAGAAATTGTAAAGGCACCACAGTTGATTAAGATTACTTATTGACCCGGTTTAGAGCTAAAGAAAAAGGGTCGTCAATCATATAATGTTTGATTTATAAATAAATTTAACTGTGTTTTACTACCTAACATTGGAAAATCGAATATATATAGCTACTTATTGCACTTGACGGGGGTGAAATAGGAGAAGGTTGTGGGTAAAACAAATCTTATACCTAAGTATGTAGTTATCCAAAGATTTAAATCGTTTATCTACTTATTATTTAAATTGTTCAAAATAGATTACGAAATCACATCCTCGAGAGGAAAAATGCCGACTGCTGATAGCACACAGAAAACCCCTAAAAATATAGAGGAATTTGAAGAACAACAAGACAAAGAAGCAGAGGAATTGAGTCTCGTTGGCGGAGGAATAGCAAACCGTAAAACTCCGAAATACACAATAAATTATCAACAGTCCGTGTCAGCAGAAGATGTGTTTTTGCAGGTTTGTGTTTTACTAGTGTTCTACTGGTTAATTTGTCTTCAGACTGACTGATGTACAAAGAACTTCATTGAACAAAGAAATATTATTGTTGCACCGTCCAGTCAGACAGAAAGACACGATGACTCGGCTGTTCTTAGTAAATAGCTTTGTAATTCATAAGCCTCATCGCCCATAACGGCTATCAACGTTAGTAACCATAAGTCTTCTTTTACTTGGTTCACTTTAAAATAGTCATTTCCAACCGCTCGATGTACAACGTCCAATTACCCGATTTAACATCAAACTCACTTGTTTTACCAATCGGCATTGTTATCGGTATTTGTATTAAATAGAAACAATTCACTCCAGTGCTAAGTATTATCACTATTAGCACAGTCTATAACTATTACTATTGTCAACGGTAACAGTCTTTCACTTTTTGCTCGTTGCCATTGGTATGTATACGTACATAAGAGACTATGTTTGGCTAGACGTTTATTTCCGAACTGGTAAGGATAGCTTCGACACTCGGCGTACAGATAAAAATTTATGAGATTACCTTCAAATATAACCCAATATACTATAGTCTTCTGTTGTTATTATTGTTCGAGAAATGACAGTAGACCTAACCGACATTTTTAGCCAAAACCATGATAAATTAGTTAAAAATTACAGTAGATTCAACCGACATTTTTAGCCAGATCCATGATAGATCTAGCTAACGATAAATTGCGACAATAATACAGTATAAGTCCTCAATGGTAATGTTAGGTACCGGCTATCACTTTATCAATTGCAGATCGGCTCCAAAACTCCTTCATCGGCCAGCTGCGAAAACTTGATGATTAGGATTAAAATGCCCGGCGACAAAAAGGAAAACGTCGACCTGTCTGTTGACAACACCAGTGTGACGGTGGACTCGTCGCAATACCACCTGAAGTTGCCTCTACCGCACGCGATCAACCCTGACACCTCTAAAGCCGCTTGGGACTCTGCCAACGAGACTCTAGTTTTGACTCTCAAGCTGGACAGGGAGTTTGATTTCATCAATTTCTGAATTTGAAGTCCAATATTAAACCATAATATCCATTTGCATCTTTCCTTGTTAAATAGTTTTTTATATATTATATTTTTATTATAGTATTTTATTTCGTTAATATTTCAAGTCCTTTTATTTATAATTAATCAGATATTATATTAATTTGCAGCTTTCTATAAAATCACAATTATTTGAATATCTTAGATTCGACTAGTGCCAAATGTGGCAAGGCAACATTTATCATAGTCACACTACTATTCCAAGGACTTGACAGTATTGGATGGCACCTACAAACATCTAATTAATTAACTTATAATAGTCCTTCCATGATCGATATCATAATGAAAGCCAGTAAATAAAACAGTTTTAACGGATATAACCCGCACTGAATTTATTATTATTATAAATATAATTTATTATGCCGACGACGCATACCTGATAGGGATGCGAAATGTCAATAAATAAAATCAGTGCATATAACTCGTTAAAACTGTTTTATTTAATGAGTGATGTGCTTGAGAACCTAAGAAACAAATAAGAAAGTGAGTGTCATAAACCTGATCTATTTCCAAAATGTCAATTAAAAGGGGTCAAGGGAACGTAAACAATAAAAAAAGACATATACTTATGAAATCTTGAAGGACTCGCAATTAAATAAGACTTGCTTAATAGATGACAAAAAACCTTTGTATTGTTTTATTGACAACATGATAACATTATTGATCATATTCTTTCATTAACTAGTGTTCTTTGTCAAATGCATCAATAAATGGAAATGTGTTTTTTATTGAGTTTAATCACAACCAAGGCGTTAATTTTGTGATATGATGTCATGTGGTTACCTTTCAATGTCGACATTGTTACAATTGTAGCCATAGTTACTTACGTATTTACATTAGTTTGCGCTATTTAGGATAGGAAGCCCATGAGCTTCGACTCATCAATAAAAAACCGGACAAATGCGCATCGGACTCGCCTACCGAGGGTTCTGTACAAACTTTTCAAAAAAGAAATCGTAGAAAACTCTGTTGTAACGAAGTTCAAAATATTTATATACCACCTACTAATCGAAACTGGACCTGCGTGGCGAATTATGATCAAATCTCCCTATTCTATAGAAAAGTATCCTACCCATCAATCTGCACTGGGTCCGCGTGGTGGGTCATGGTCCAATCTCTCTATACCATCCAAAAATAGTGAGGATGACTATGAGGATATCACCCCCCCCCCCCCCCTCCTAACCCTTTGACAAGGCGGATACAAAAATCTTCCCTTTTTTGCTTTTGTAACTTTGCTGCTGCTATGCTTGAGAGCCCACTACGCCACACTCTGTGTTTGAAACTTTATTCTACATTACCGACTACTTATGGCTTTGTTTAAAGGATTAATTTATTTTGCGAATTTTATTGTGTAGTTTGTGGTCTGTGTTGCGGCGTAGAATACATACGCTACCTATCTCAGGAATTTCTTCACACAAACAATATTCCCGTGGGTCATAAAAATGTGCACAAGGTCAACAATGTACCTAGAGGTCTAAAGGGAGAATTCATCACAAAAATACCCCAGCGGATAGCTGTGGGGTATTTTTCCATAGTAAAGTTCCCAATGTCCTTTTTTTCGCCAAGCACCCAACCGCGTTCTTTATTCCAAAAATTTGAGAAAAGAATTTCCGTACATACCATTGCTTAAACTCTACCCCCTTATTAATAAACGAGGTATAAGTTTAGACTAGTTACGCCGTGTTTGGTTCATATCACTCAAGTGCTGTTTGTCATTCAATGAACACAGACAAAACATAGAATAACTAATCTAAGCTGAGTCTTGTTTATTAATAAGGGGGTATGATTGTAGCAAATGTATAGTTTTCAGTTTTTTTCCGGACTTGTAGTATATTAAATGACGATATCGTATCTTTTTTTATGTTAGGTACCTCCATGTTACCTCAGAATTTTGATTTTTCACAGCTTCAGGGGACTATAGACCCGAGTATAGGGTTTAAATTTCAACTCGATCCCTCTACGCGGCCCCCGCGCTAAAGCAGACAGACAGACCGACCGTGCTGAAGAGTCCTTGGGCAGCAGCAGCAGTAGTAACTACTTACCATTAGGTGGACTGTGATTCAGCATAAATTACTTTCACGACAAGCTTGATGACACAGTTCGATCAGTCTTCGATTGTGGATGTTAAACATCTTTCGAAATGGTCGGTCATGCGGTGGGTAGAGAACCAAAACTTTATTATATCAAGCTCCTTTGATCTTCAGAAGGCATGGTAAACCATTGGTTCCGGCTGTCTTGATGCCTTTGTACTTTTGTATGACGACAAAGCCGTACTGGCCTCCGCGAAGGGTCATGGGTATATCCCCCTATTCCAAACATAGAGAAGGCTCGTGCCCTCGCAGTGGGGGCATATTAATTGGATGATGCTTATTAAGAACACTTGTAGTTATATTTTTTAATCATTAACTGCTAGATGTTTAAATCTAAAAAAAAATGTAATAGAAAATATAACACGCAGTCCAGGCAGTAGACGGGAAAGGTATTCATTTGACATTGTGGGTTACCTACAATGCGAAGAGATGTAGTTGCCTTGGAGCCTAAGAAAGGCTAGAGAAAATTCGACACGGCCATCAGGGCCGTGGTAGTATAATGGTCAGTGCAAGAACAATTTTATTTTTAAAACTATTTTTTTTCTCTATATCTTCAGTTTGTTCTTTTTTTGTATAAGTAACTGGTTACGCTACTTCTATGTACTCGTAATAATAAGAGAAACAAAATATTCAAATACCAAAATAAAAAAAGCTTTATATGAAATACTTACATATGTAAATAAATCATCGATTACGCAACTGTCAACGTGTTAATTGATTCCATTGTGTGTAGAAAAATCTTGCGTCTATCTTAAATATTGGTATGTTTAACTATATTAATGTCATGAACCAACTCAAAATAAGGTTTTTTTATATGTATGATTCGACTCGAAATACTATGTTAAGATTTTGGATTTCCAGGGCAAGTATTCCAAAGTTACAAAGAGCAGGTCCAGTCGCGTATACAGTACAACTCTCACCTCTGGGCTGGAATCTGGAACACCCCAATACCAACTCCTTCCACTTTAGCAAACAAAATGGTCCTATGAGGGTACAGTTTTTTTTGAGTTACATAATCCTAAAACGGGTAAATTATTGATCTTAAAAGTCGTCAAAGGGGTCAAATTACCAATGATCAAATGACAAAGGAGGGCAGATAGACTTGTCCACGATTCTGATCTCATTGACGCGTACAACACCTTTTTTTATTACGGAGGCAAAACCTCTATTTACAGACGTTGGCGCCGTTAAGGGGCACACCAACGAACGGATTTCACACCTAGCCTCTCGCAAGTCTCGCGGGTCAGTCAGTCCGCGCGGCTTACGAGCGATTACGGCGTACTATCCGCTAAAAAAACCCTGCGAATACCCTCTACGCTATTAAGTGCTTCTTTGTGCATGTTGTATTGCTATGCAATAGAGTGTTCCGAGGAGTTATTCGATTTGGTGCCAGCAGCCAAGTTCCTTCTAATCTGGACGCTCGGCGTTGTAGCACAATGCATAACGCGAGTTCCTTTTTCTTACAATGGCGAGTAAACCTTATTCTTCAGAGCCGCCAACGCATTTGGTACCTTGATGCTGCTTGAAGTATCCATGGACGGCAGTAACCACTTACCATCAGGTGGACTTCCAGCTCGTTTCCTTGCATATACATATAAAAAAAATGTCGACTTGGTGACTTTTCGCTCTACGGTAACGATGTATAATGTTCTAGGCAAAAGTAGTACATCCATAGATTTTGGCGATTTACAACTTGTCCTTGTCCTTGGGTGACGAATAAGGTTTTTTATACAAACCCACTAGTGCAACCCTAGACCTGATAAGGAACCTACGTGCCAAATTTGTAGTCTCTAGACTCAGCGGTTTAGGCTGTGCGTTGATTGTCAGTCACTCAATATTCTTTTATATATCCAGATAACCTAGTTTTCGAATCAGATTTGAGTCTTTAGCCAAGGAAAAGCTATGAATCTGTAACAATTCTTTCCTAGCTTAATGAGCCAGAACACATTGTAAAGTAATAACTTTAAATAAAACTATAAAACACAGTTATTTCCATCAAGACGCCCATAAACAATAATCTCCCAGTAATCTGCGTAATATCAAACAAAAAATATAGAAACAATTCGCTAATAGAGCATGCTTCAGCTGTTTTTAGTTCTTAGTTTTTTGTTTTACACTAACTTAAGTATTGTAACGAGTGTGTTAAATCGAGGATTTTTATAGCGAGCGGTATAAATGGCAACGCGTGCGTGATCTTGCCGTTGTAAACATAAACATCAATTTATTCTTATTCTGACCATCGCAAGATGCGGTGGTGATACTCATTTCGTAGTGATCAAGTCGAATTTACATTTTTTTTTGTAATTTGTATGGAAGAATCAGGCCATTGTTTAAGTGACGAAAGTTGTGCCCCACATTGTGGTTAAATTGATAAACTCGGTTACAATTTTACCACGTACCAAGCGGTAAGTTAAAATATTTAACAAACTTTTGTGTAACTGTTCTATCTGTCTGTTATGACAAAAAAAAAATATAAGTAGCTATAACCGATAGATATAAAACAAGATATAGATATAGAAATATTGCGATCTCATTAATAGTACCGATTGTAAATAGGATTTGTAGCATTTTAGTAATCGAAGTTAGGAAATTATATGTTACAACTCATTTGTTGGCAAGTGTGCTGGACGCCAGAATTTCATTTATCTTTTCTAAATATTTTTATAAATTAATAATAAATTGTCTGTAAGTAAGTAAGTACTTAAGTTTTAGCATTGTCAGATATCTTCTCGATACAATAACAATTGTCAGATTTAGATCTCACTAGTGTTGGTGGTCATTATTAATAAGAACATCCTAATATTTTTATTAAAAGTTAACGTTACGCAAATATGAATTCGTGAGTTATTACAACCCAAAAATTCGATTTCGAAGTTGTTGCGTCTGCGACGTGCGAATTCAACAAAAATGAAGTACTTAAATCTCTATGCGAAAGGATAAACAATTCCATGTTACAATATTATAATTAATATATTATTTATTATTATTTTCTGTCTCTTCAAATACTTCTTTATCATCATCATCATCGATAGGCTATCTTAGTCCACTGCTGGACATAGGCCTCTCCAAATGCACGCCACTCAAATCAAATACATCTTGATATTACCTTGTTAATTGTTTGAAGTTAAGATCATGTTACTCTCCGATGCATGGTAAATTGAGTTTTATTTTCTTTAATGAATGACTACTTGTTATGTTATTGGGAGTAATGACCACTCTACATTGAGGAATCTCAGTGTATTCAATTCCAATTGTCATAAATAGGTATGGCCACACCCTGCCAAATATTAATAATTAGTAGGTGCCCGTGACTCGTCTGTGCGGCTTAATTGGTTTCCTTTCAACTTTCATCCCCATTTTTACCCCCTAAAAAAAGATTTTTGGAATAAAAACTAATCTATGTCCTTTCCTATATATTCCTATCCTATTTATCTATACCAACATTCTTCTTAATCGGTTCAGCGGTTAAAGCGTGAAGAGGTAACAGTCAGAAAAACACACTTTTGCATTTATAATATTACTAGCTTCCGCCCGCGGCTTCGTCAGCGTCAACTTTAATTTTTTGAAAATCTCTCAGGAACCTACCTTTTTTCCGGTATAAAAAGCATCCTTTGTCTCAATCCAGTTCATAAAGTATCAAACTTCATCCTTATCCGTTCAGTAGTTTTTTGCGCTATTGAGTAACAAACATACAAACTTTCACATTTGTTATATTAGAAGGACTATGGATTAAAATACCAAAAATGCGACTAGAGCTTCATTATTATGTTTAAGTACCTAAGTGTATTCAAAGTTCAAATCAGAAAAGGAACAAAATCACGATCAAATAAAATGTAAGTTTTTAAAAAACTTATGCCCCATCTTATTATTTACTACAATACGGTATTAGATCAACTCATTCATAACAGTGTACACTTTTTAAACTTTTAGAAGATGAGGTGACAACCCTTCTATATAATAAGTCAATCATAGGTTTTTTATGATGAAAAATCATGATTGATTATTATGATTCATTCTTAAACTTGGAACGACCTTCCCTGATCGTCAATCACATTTTTATTTATGTTGTACTACCTATTGCAGTGCTATTCTGTAAGATCGGTGTGATTTGATATTCGTGTTCTAATTTTTAAATCACACCACGGATCCCGAGGTGAATCGTGAGTTTGTTCTTACAGTGATATTTTTTGTATTCTTTTATACTTCTGATAGATTAGCAGTGGTCGTTTATATTATCTACATAGTTAAGATTAATAAAACTTTCATAGCTGGAAATATGTGCTGCCTGAAATAATATTATTTAAAACGTTTCACAATATTTTGGACACAGAATCGGCAAAAAACTGCATATACGGTTACACTAATTGCCAAAGAAAAACCTGTATAGCAGTCAAAGCCAACTAACTGTTAATAATTAATTAAATTACTTATTAGGCACGCAATGCAAATGGTAGACAGCAAGAAAGGAGGAAATCATCAAATATTAACTCCAAGATTTTGATACATATAATTAGTTTCGATTTTTTTAAATTGAAACTTAGATTATAGATGATGACTAATCTTATTTTCTTCGTCTATCAGGTAGATCTTTAAAAACCCAGCCCTGAACCCTTATAAGATCACTCGTTTGTATGTCACAGTCGATTTGCTCGGAATCTACTACCGATCAAGTTAAAATTTGGTACATACATTATATGTCTGTGACCCAAACACGGACAAATAAAGTAAATAAATAAGTTCCGATTTATTATGTTTCAATTTTGTATCAATACTCAGTCTCCTGGGCCCCTAAATTTTTTAAATGGCCTAAATTTAGTCCAACCTGCTGCCTGGTCCGCTTGGAATTTCTTCTTTCAAATGCTTAATACTTGTAAAGGTATTCATTTCACATTGTGGGTTACCTATAATGCGAAGTGATGGCGTTGCCTTGCGGCTTAAGAGAGGCTAGAAAGAATTCGACACGGCCATCAGGGTCGCGGTTGCATAATGGTGAGTGCATTCGCCTTGATAGGGAAGGGTGCGGGTTCGAGTTCCGCCTGCTGCCTGGTCCACATGGAATTTTTTCTAGTAATATTTTCTTTAGATTTAATTATTATTGTTGTTTGCCTTCCAGCTAATTTAGCCAGCCCATTCTACAGTTAAGATGTCGTGTGCTACGTGGATCAGTGCACTCATTATTTTAAATGCATCGGTGTTACTGCAAAGTTCAAAGACGTGGGGGAACGATCGACGTGAGTACCTCATAATAATAATATTGTTACGTTTTTTGGAATTTAATGCATCAAATATTCTTATATTTTATATTACCTCATTGTATATATATTTGCGCAAATTTTATTACAGTGCCCTTGACATAAAATCTTAAATTTTGAGTCTTTCAAGAATTCTAGATTTTTATGCACCTTCTTATTAATAAACGAATAGTAAGGTCGCTAGGTAATTTTTTTGTGTTTATCTAGTTGCCATATCCTTTTCGAGGATTAATAGACTAAAAACATTACGTCACTTGATGACCATTAAATTTAATTGACGTCTATGAGTGCGGCAGTCGTCATCATCATCATGTTATCCGAATGACGCCCACTGCTGAGCATAGGCAATTTACTTTATAGTACGGCCGTTAGATTTCGTTTACTAAGAACCCGCTTAATACCGTGTTTATTAATAAGCACGGTACATGGTAAATTACCTATCATATGATTATGAATATATTAATGGGATAGACAATCACACTAATATTATAAAGGCGAAAGTTTGTGAGTATGTATGTTTGTTACTTCTTCTAAACGGCTGGAGCGATTTTAATAAAATTTGGTATAGAGTTAGCTGACACCCTGGATTAACACATAGACTACGTTTTACTGCAGGAAAATATCGCTATGAAACCGCGGGTAACACCAGGGCACGTATCTATATAAGTAAGAATGTATTGTTTGACAAAAAAAAACTAGTTTTTTGTCAAACAATTTACAATTCAGTGCACTATATCTCATAATAATTTGGAGTATGCCTGAGACTAACTACCACCCTCCATACAATTTTGAACCGTCTCCTTGTTGATTAAGGTATAATATAGTAATTAATAAGTAAGCAATAATTATAATTATGAGATATCACTTTAATCCTGTTCTGTTTGACGTTTGTGGGAATGTTGTAACCTTGTTATATAACGTGTATTTTGTAGATGACAAAGTACTTACATAGGCAAGCTCATTTAAAAAATCATTAAGGTAGCTATGATAGCTGTGATAGGACTAACGATGGCGCACTTTTATGCTCTGTCACGCGAGAGGTATGACGTGAAGCTATGTACCTACTAATAATCTGTTAATTCACAAGTTGAAATAAATATCAACATAATTTAAGAGTGGTTGAATAGCGGATTTCCCGCTTGAATTGGAGCGTCCGTATGGTGAAGTAATATCCCCCCTACAGAAGACAACACTACCTTTTGGTGGTGTTTTATTTTTGTCGGTGAGTATGGTTCCAGGTCTCCATCACGGTAGATCGCGGAAGAATCCCTGAGTGTCGCCGCACACGTGCCACCGACCACAACCACAAAACGCCGCCACCGGCATATTTTCATACATTTTATATGGACTCGCCACACACGGTACGCCGGTGGCCGCCACATGCTACAAATCGAAGTTGCTCGCTTCTTGTGGCCCGCACCGGCCACTTAATGCGCCGATACAAAACGCCGCCACACGTCACTCGCGCGATTCCCCACCGCTCTCTCCCTTACCTTAGTCGGCCGCTGTCGCGCGCTTCAGCCACTTTAGTAGCCGCTTCTAGCTTCTTGTGGCGGCGTTTGTGGCTGTGGCATGTGGCCTGTGTGGGGCGATATTAAACAGGGATCCCGTGGCTTCGCACTAAGCAGCTTAGAGGGGGCGCAGGGTTTTTTAGCGGATATTATGCTGTAAAGCGCCCGTAAGAGTTACCGGGTCCTCAGTGAGCAGTCACTCTCAGGGAGCCAGGTGTGAGGTCCGTTCGGCGGTGTGCCTCTTAAAGGCGCCGTCGTCTGTAAACAGAAGTTTTGCCTGCGGCGCGAGTGATATTTTTGAAGTGAAACTTCTTGAGGCACGCTTGTCTAGGGGGGTAAACTGGCGACCGCGTTACGAGTTACGCGTTACAGTTAGTGTCACCGATGACTCATCGGTAAACAATGAACAATTTACGTACTCTTGACTTGGGGGGTAAACTGGCGAACGCGTTACGAGTTACGCCTTACGGTTAGTGTCACCGGTAACTCATCGGTAAACAATGAACAATTTAGGCACGCTTGACTTGGGGGGTAAACTGGCGAATGCGTTACGAGTTACGCATTGCGAAAAGTGTTACCGGTCACACTTATATATAAACGTACATACAGATGGAGCTAAAGAAGTTTCACTTCAGTCGTGTGGTTATAAGCACACTCGCTCTTTTTTTGTATCGCAAACGTCTATAGACTATAGTGGCCGATTACCATAAAACAGGCCACATGCTTTTGCCACCCTTGTAACATAAAATAAATAAAATAAAAATACACTTTTTGGCAACCGTGTAACAAGGTTCGTATGAGTCGTATGGAGACTATACATGAACCATTCAATGCCTATTTCGACTTGTTTCTTCGATCTAGTTTTTAATATTTAACGGCATGCTATATACGAGCCCACCGCACTTGGCTGTCTTTTAATATGTAGATAGTTCGGTTTCTAAAGACTGTTTTGAAGCCCTGCCCTTTTTTCTCTGCAGCGATTTTTCCCGCCAGTAAAATACCGGATGGTGCATTAGATCCCCAAAGGCCGATTGTCCGAAAAAAAATCGTAGTGTATCACAACTTCTTTCGGACTAAAGTACAGCCCACTGCGTCCAATATGCTGATTATGGTAAGTTGTTATTATTTTAGTGATTTTGTTACGAATCAACTTATATGTATAGACTAGTTGTCAGTTGTATACATTTTATTAAAGAATTAGAACTATTAGAAGTGAGCGTAAAGTGATCGCAATTTCGAATTCTCTTAATGAAATGTGTATCTCTTTTTGTAGTAAATAAAGTATTTGTGTCGCTAACTCTCATGCACACTTATCAATTAATATTACTCAAGATGATCATCATCCGCCTATTAGTTTCCCCACTGCTGGGGCACAGGCCTTTCCTTTAGATGGTGTGGCGAACCGACATCCTTGTGTATATGACATGTGTAACTAATATTGCTATAAATACGTAAAAAGTTTTCTTTTTTTCAACTTTTTTATTATTTTGAATTTGGAGGACGTATATTATTTAAAAACTTCTTTCGATTTTGCGCCATTTCACAAATTTTTTCGTGTTCATCATCAAATTACAATATGGAAAGGGGTATTAGAGAAAATAGGATTGCAGTGATCGCCTTGCAATCCTTCAGACTTCAAATAATGGTCAGTTTTAGAGGACACGGTCTGCTCTAAACGACACGGTGACATTGAGTCTCTTAAAAAATCTTTGGAGCAAGCAGTGGCGTAATTTCTCTTGGAAACAGTGCGTCAATCCATAGATTCGTGGCAAAACAGATGAAAGGTCTGTATAAAAGCCAAAGGTGGTCATTTTGAATAGAATATTTTTTTATGTTTTGCAGAGACTTTAATAAATATGTAGGTTTAAATTTTAATTGTATTACATTATTTCATTAAAAAAATGCATTTTCATTTGTAACAGCTGGACTAGGTATAGTTCTTCTTTTATAGTTTTTACTTTTGTTTAGCTTGTCATTGTCTCGCTTTGTAAATACGTTCCGTACATACATTTGTTTACCTAAGTTTAGTGAATTTTATTTATTTTATCGTTTAATTCCTTGATCCTCCCTCACGTCCGCTATAGATGGAATAGGGTGATTGAGGCATGACGCACCACGCGGGCCTTGTGCGGATTGGTGAGTGTTAACTACTGCAGATGCAGCCGGGACCTACGGCTTAACGTGACTTCCGAAGCACAGATGAGCTCGAGTTAATAAATTTTTGGTCACCCATCCAATGACCGACCACTGCGAATGTTGCTTAACTTCAACGATCGCAGCTGAACGCGCTAACCGATTGCGCTATCTAGCTCCTCGAAACAAAACATCGACTTAATTAAGCTTTATTATTGATTTATTATTCTTAGTGCAGCATTAATGAAGCGCATTGATGTATCTAACAATTGCAATTTTGTTAAAATTTTTTTTTTCTTATGATTCTTTGGCTGCAGGTCGTATTTTTATTTATGAATTATCATAACATTATGCTAAGATAAGGTCTTTGACAAGCATCCAAAAATTCTCTAAGTAAGAAGTCCGATAATGTCTTATTTTGTAACAGGCTGTGTTGCTTATTATAATAACTTGTCAAAAAATTTTTTGGTTTGATTACAGTCATGGGATGAGGAAGCAGCCGAGCAAGCTCAGCGATATGCCGAACAGTGCCAGTACTTAGTACATAATGACAACAGGGAGAGGGAGTTGCCAGAATACGGCTCCTGCGGACAAAATCTGTTCGCCGCCTCTAATAAAACTCCTTGGTAAATAATCTTTACATATAATAAAATTCTTTAAAAGAATACTTGGGGTGTGATCTGCAATCGTTACTGAAGTCAAAAATATAGTTTTTAGATTTTTTCTGTTTGTCTGTATGTATGTCCGGGATAAACTCAAAAAGTACTGCATGGATTTACTTCAAATTTGGCACGAATATTATTAAGAAGTCGGGTCAACATATAGGCTACATATTATCACGAAACTCCACCCCTAAGGGGGTAATACGTGGGTTGGAAGTTTGTATGAAAGTCCTATGTTTTTGAAGAAAGAGACTTGAAAAATTACATGTATGCTCTGTAGATGGTGTGGAAGTGTACTAATAATGTATCTCTAGAAATAAACCCCCTTTTAGGATCAGAAAGCATGTGCAAATAAATAAGTCCACGCGTACGAAGACGCTGGCGGCCGCTAGTCAATCAAAAAATCTTTGACTGCACTTCGATTACACAGTGGTTGGCGCGGTCGTTCGCGTTTGTATAAGCGCAGGCCCGGAACCACAGAAAAGGTAGGACCACAGAACACAGAAAGAGGTGAGAAGGGTGGGGAACCGATGTCCCCGGCTCGTCCTCACTACACTTTCCCTTAATGGCTTGCGCAGACGAGGGTCAATAAGAAGGAAAAAGACCCTGAGTCGTGAAAAAAAATTACTGCCAAAGACGGACTCAATGTACTGTACACGGTGTGCGAACATTTGCTGAAAATTTAGAGAAGCACACGTTATGGAATTCAATAATCTCATATTATGTACGTTGTGTTGTGAAGAACACGAGGTTTAAGAAAAAGAAAAGTCTATTTAAAGTGGAATACTCTGGGTGCATCGAGCGCGCATCGCGATCGCAAGTTAGTTGCAATGTGTACGTTGCTAAGCCTGGTCAGATAAGTTCTTTTTTTTACCCGACTGTGCACTGCAAGAGTGCGAAGTGCGACGCGCAGACAGGGTATAGTGTTTAACAGTCTATATTATGTATTTTCACCAGCGTGTCCTGTCCGGTGTTTCGGCCTCCTCGGTTTTTCGAAGGACTTTTTGTAAGTGGGATTTTAATTCCTCGTGTATTACTCGATGCAGCTAGTAAAGCAGTCTATTTTGGCAGACAACAAAGTTCGCGGACAAACTTCCCTCGCCTGCGAAAGGCCTAATAGATAACAAGTTAGTCAAACGACGTTACCTAACACTCAAACGAATCACCTTTCAGTCCCAGAGTCCTGTTTTAAAAAATGCAATGGAGGGTGCATTTGTAAGTTGGCCCTACTTACAAATTCTTTGGGGGCAGAATTTGTAAATCAAATCAAAATATAGCTCAGTAGCGAATGCCTTTTGATGGTTTCTGCCGCCCTAGGGGCATCGCCTAACGGGATTGGCTTTGGCTATCGCTTATACTACTTATACTACATGCTACGATGTTGTTATTTCTGACCGCCTAAGGTTTTAAATTCATTATGCGTAGCCATTTATTACATAGACTTTATTTTTTAATATGTCAAGGTTTTTCAAACAAAATAGATAGTACAGAAGGCAATCTCTGTACATACAAAGTGCGTTCGAGCAACGCACGCATAGACACTGCTTACGGACATGATATTTCGGACCGCTTGGGATCAGTGCGCGCGCGAGTTCCATCCGCTTGAAACACGCGCCTGTGAGGTTTTTGTGCAAAAATGGAGTAACAAAAGAAGTTATAATTACTGTTCAGTGGACGGTTGTTTGAATTCAACAATAAACTGTTTGAATTGACGTTTTTTTTGTGCACAAGTCAAAGTTGACAAACCTAGTGCGACCGCCGAGCTTAGGTATTAAAAGTGAAGTACATATACAATATATACATGAAATTACCTTCTGTTTTATCTATTATGTGTTTTCAAATTGCATTATGAACTTTAATGATCTACGAAAGGTATAAAATTATAACCCGGTAATTGGCAAACTGATAAATTATAGCAGTGTTGTGTTGTTGACTTTAGTTTTTTTGTTTCGATTCATTCACTTCCCGCTATAGTTCTATCTCGTCACGATTTTTCAAATTAGCTGTTACAATAAATACGATTCGTGATCACGTAATTAAGGATTTCTCAACAAACAGACCATTAAGGATTAAAATAGTTAGTTCACTTCGTAAATTATAAGAAAATATATATAAATTTCAATAAAAACTATTATTTACGATGTATTTTTTCGATTAGCATATTTATTGATTACTTGTCTTTTGTCTTTTTATCAAAGCTATATAAAATATTTGTAGATATTTATCTGTAATGGTTATTATGCACCCATGCTAGACTGGGAGTTACATTTTCATTTGTAATTAGAAGAGTGTTTCAAGTGGCAGGTTGAAAGTTCTATCTCGATAACATTTTATCGTTAGTTAGTTATCCTTATAAACGGACACAGAAGAGTTGGGTTTATTTGTCATAAATGTTAATTTTTTGAGAACATTTGTTTTTGATCAGGTCATATTATTCTGGAGATAATAAAAAGGGTTATGATTCTCAGTAGTTTCAAAGATAATTTGGCTTGATATGTGTTATTATTAAATAAATAGTCTCGAACGTTTCCTTCCATATACTAACACTTGCACGTCCTTTGCATGCGTAAATTAGATAAGAAATTAACATTTTTGTTTTAATTTTTACAAGTTACATGTGAGCAAAAAAAAAACAATGATTACACAATCCAATTTCTACTACACAAATATTAAATAATATACCTTTCAGAAACACTCAAATCCGTTATGGGTTGGATAGTGTCTCAGTGGCAAGCATACTAAAAAGTTCAGAAACATTACTTTTTTCTTAGAGGAAAACACTTTAATTGCCCACCTAATTGTCTCAAATGGATAACAGACTGCAAGTATAGGTCGTTTTGCGTAGGTACGTATTTTATCAGGTCTTCAAGTTTTGTTGTCAGATTGTTATAAGCTATTCTAAGCGAACGTATTAAACTGTCCAGCTGAAGGGATAATTAACTATTAAAGCGTGAGATAGACGTGTTGGCTAAGTACATTAAATTAGAGGCTATTATATTAACGTATGTCAGCAAAAAGACTGCGTGACCTTAGAGCTTTTATTGGTTGTTATTAAACTCCCATTCAAAAGGAGTACAAACAGATAAGTCGAAAAAAAATCAGTGCGTAAGCTATATACCTAAAAGAGGATGTTGCTAAGTTCTAACAATATTTTAGTTTTACGACTAAATATTCTATAATCAAAATTTTAATTAATTTATTTTCATCAACTTTATTTACTAATTAGTTATAAAATAGTTAGTATCTAGTTTTTAACAATGCTTGAAATCGATGCTTATTAATTTTAGAGTCTCTGTTTTACTAGTGATGAGTGCCTTACCTTCACATCACAGAAGATCACAGCCAATAAAAAAAGCCAGTGTGCTTTTGACCACACGCCTGAAGTGAAACTTCTTTAGCTCCAATGATCTGAAAATCATAAACTTGACCTGAAGATTTGTTGATAGAAAAAAACCATCAATCCGCGCTAGGTCCGTTATCACCCTCCAATCCGCACTGGGTTCATTATCACCCACCAATCCACGCTGGATACGTTATCAACCACCAATCCGCACCTGGTCCGTTATCATCCACCAATCCGCACTGGGTCCAATATCACCCATCAATCCGCGCTGGGTCCGTTATCACCCACCAAGCACTAGATTCATGCATGTATTAATGTTTCACCGATGAGTCACCGGAGATTTCAATTTACCACGTATCATGTATAGAGACTGCTAAAACTCAAACGTTAGAGTTCTCATACGTTTGGAAAAACTGCGCGCGCGGCCGCGCACGCACAAACACACGCCGTCGGACAGCACCTTAAGAGCAAGCCGAGTAGTGACGAAATATTCCGTCCTCTCTCCTCCTCCCTTAGATAGGTATTAGAATGATCAGCATTGCCGACTAGTCAGCAATATCAAAACCAATTAGTCGGCATCACCATCAATAACTACAGTTATTTTATTGTGATCTTTTACCAGGATAAATTAATTTCCCCTGTCAGGGCGCTGCACTTCGGGGAATAATCCCCTATACTGTAAATATTATTTTAAAAGGGAATCTCTTTACGAAAATTTCAAGTTTAAATTTGCTGGTTAAAACATTGCAAATGTAAAAGTAAATGTTCGTCACGCTAATGAGTTATTAAGTATGTTTTTTTAATTATTATTATTAACAGGTTCTTTGCACTTAAGAACTGGTTCATTGAATACCAGAAATTTAAGTACGGAGTGCCGGTGCGGGACCTCAAGGAGGTGGGCCACTACACGCAAATGGTTTGGGCCACCACTCACAAAGTTGGCTGCGGGATGGCCTACTGCGACGGCGGACCTTGGGGTCATTTCTACAACTACGTGTGCCATTATTGTCCTGGGTGAGTTAACTTTAGGTACATAATTAAGGCACATTCTTTTTAAATATTTATTTTTAATATTTCCAATACTTACGCCAATTAGCCTAGCCCCAAAGTAAGCACTGTAAGGCTTGTGTTATGTGATACTAGGGTAACGGATAGAATACATTAATAGTACATAAACATATATAAGTATATTTATATAGAAATACATATTAAACATCCATGACTAGAGTACAACTGCTCGTATTCATCACACAAACATCTGCCCCCACCCGGATTCGAACGTGGGAACTCTTGAGTCGGCGACACCTTGAAACCCGCCGTACAAACCACTCGGCCACGGAGGTCGTCAAAATTCATTCATAACATAAGAGAGGAAAGAAATTGCGAATTTTCATCTAATGTATCAGTTTGTAATCGAACAATACTTTTTAATGGTGTTGTTTCACCACTGTTTATTTCGGTGGGAAAGGTTCTAGGTCTCCACAGGGGTGAGGATGTTAGGGTAGGCAATGGGCGATATTTTAGAGCGCCCGTCTGGTGAAGTAACCTCTACCATACAGAAGATAACATATACATAGTAAATAACACTACATTTTGGGTGTGTTGTGTTTATGTCGGTAAGTAAGGTTCCAGGGCACCACGGGTTAGGGGATTGGGTAAGGATAGGCAACGGTGCAAGTGGTATTTGTGGTATCGCAAGCATCGATGGGCTATGGTGGCTGCTTACCCCCAGGCGGGCCATATTATTATGCTTGTTTGCCACACTTTTAACATAAAAAAGTAAGTACTAGGTATCATACTTTTCCTTAATGTAAGTATTGTGTGGGCATGTGGAAAACACTAGGTACTAAGTTATATGCCTTCATACCTAGTGTTGTGTTTCTACAACGATTGATGTATTAAGGTGCTATCCCGTGATCTGAGTTGTAGCGGGCGAGGCGGCGGCGCCGCGCAGGGTTTCCAAATGACATTTGAGAACTCTAACGTTCGAGATTCTATACATGATGCGAGGTAAATAGAAATCACGTACACTTTGATATGAGATTTGAATAATGTTGACTGTTTGTGGTATGTACACAAACCAAAAATATTATCAGAAAGTAAATAAATGTCCAGTCTACAAAGGATTGTCACAGTACGTACAGATTCATTATGCCTTCACCAAATGCATCGTTATTAGTAACATCGTATGATCACCTCGTATCATGTATAGAGACTGCTAAATCTCGAACGTTAGAGTTCTCATACGTTTGGCAACCCTGTGCGGCGTGGCCTCGCCCGCAACTACACAGATCGTGGGATAGCACCTTTACTAAGTTCCACGAATTGAGCATACAGCGCGAGTAGCCCACGCGCAAGTGGTACTCTCTGATATTAGAAAAGTTTATAGGTTATTGTAACCGATTAGCATTATACGGGTCATTTGCATTTTTTCCACGCTTTTTATATGAACGCCACGTGCAATACTTAGAAGGGGAAACCCCCCGTGGGGAGACGGCATCCGCCTGGAATACCTCCAGAGGCTCGCCAATTCTCGGCTTGAGGCCCCCTAGAATCTCGCCGTCCCCAAACCCGGTGACGCTGTAAAGGTCATCTGCGACCAACAGCATACACACTCAAAAAAAAACTTAGAAGGCAAAATAGTAGATTAGGCATATAGGTGAAAAGGCAGTGTATTATGTCACGGGTAGCATTTTGAATTGTTGTGCGAAATGAAGGATTCTGTAATTAATTCCTGATCGAAGTGAGGTAATTATCGTAAGAATCCTAAATGAATTGAAAGATTTAAGTGTGCCCAAGACTTAGAAACGTTTATTCTTGAGGAGACGTTTATACTTCATACACATACTGTGATGTAAAAAAAGGTATTACTTATAATTAAAAAAAAGTAAGTTAAATAAATAAAATTTTATGTTAGAATCATTAGTCCAGTTATGGAATGAAAGTACACTAGAAGTAAAGAATCTACTTAATTAATCTTTGTCCATTTTTTAACTCATTAATTTATAAATGTTTACGAATAAATTTATAAATTGATATTTGGATTTTTCGGATAAAATCTCGCCAATAATATTTTGAGCTGCAGTTTCTATTTCAGAGTCGCTATCAGTGGCCATTTTTCTCAGTTAAATTTTATTATAATAAATGACAACAATTTAAAAATTCAAGTTTTTTTTGTTACATATTTTTCATCGGAGGAAAGTCCTGGAGCGAGGAAGTTATGCCTTAAACATCCTTTTTTGAAAAAGATTTTTTTCCATTTTGGCGTTCCAAATTTAAATGCAGAGATAAATATTATTGTTCTCCCTGCAGTCGACCGAAGGAAGACCAATCAATCATTGATCTAAGTTTAGATGTCATTTTTACCCAATGGGACTTCAATACAACTTAAGCCACCTTCGCTTTCTTTGAAATGAGAATGATTGACATATGTAATACGTGCTCCGGTGGTGTATAACAGGCATTTTCTTTACCTACCAAAATGTACAATATTTTTTTTATGTCATATTTATTATTTTATAAATTTATCTACTTTTGTGCGAAAAGAGTGGAAAACAAACTTATTTTTAGAGCTAATCTGATGGTAAGCGACGAAACTACAGTACCTATCATTATGTAACGATTAACTTTATTCTACTCGAACATTACACAAATTAAATAACCAAATTATATTTAGTGTAATTTGTCTATTTATTTAATATTAATTTCGCTCAAAATTTGGTCAATAAAAATATAATGCATTGGACTAAGAGTGGTGGTGATACCAAGGTCTAAGTCTAAAATATGCCCTCATGGACATTGACACCTCCATATTCTCTTGTGGCTAAGCCTACGTGGCGCTTTTTCGATTAACCAATCTTAATGGGGTGCACTTGACTTCAAGAGTATAAAAGCTCAAGCTTCAGCGATCACCGAATACAACCGGTTTAGGCGTAAATACCGCGGTGCTACATGACAGCATTGCACCGATGCATTTATACATGCAATATTACGTGTAAACGCAACTTTATCAAGCCTACAATTGACTGGTTATGCAATCAACGTTTTCCAAGTGACTATTTTCCATCGTCGATGGGTAGGTAGGTAGATGGGTGGAGCCCTCTCGCTGCGGAGCATGGTGGAGGCCATGCTCCGCAGCGACAGGGCGTGGGAGGCAGCCGCCTCCTTCTGCGAGAACGTCATCTCGCAGAAGGAGGCGGCTGAGAGGGAGCGGGAGGATGATCCTCTGGCCGCTCCCTCCCGCCAAAGGAGGACGGGTAGGAGAGGACGGCGGCGCGCCCTGGCTGCGCCCGTCCCATGACCCTACCCGAGGGGTCCCTCGCTGACCGGCATGGCGATGGCCGTGCCGGCCACCGACGGACCCCGTGACGGCAGCCCCCCCTTGTAGTTCTGTCCTGCAAAGAGGGGGGCGGCGGAGGGGGCTACACGGGCACGCCCAAGTAGCCCTCCGCAGCGGACGGGGGGGCGCGGCGGTACGGTGGGCACTAGGCCGCGTACTCAGCCCCCGCGCGCGGGCCTACCCGCGCACGTCTGCGGGGTCCCCGCGATACCCCGGGAGACCCCTGCCGTGGAGCCCCGGCTTGGCCGGGAGGCTGCTAGGTGCGGAGACGCGGAGAATCCCTAAACGGGGATCCCGCGGCTTCGCGCTAAGCAGCTTAGAGGGTATTCGCAGGACTTTTTTAGCGGATATTATACCGTAAAGCGCCCGCAAGAGTTGCGGGGTCCTCGGTGGGCAGCCACTGGGGGGTTCGTAAGACTTGCGGGAGCCAGGTGTGAGGTCCGTTCGGCGGTGTGCCTCTTAAAGGCGCCGTCGTCTGTAAATAGATTTTTTACCTGCGTATTAAAAAAAAAAAAAAAAAGGTAGGTAGATGGGTTCTGGCGACAGATTGGTGAAATGGTGTCATGTAGCACCTGGTTTTGTACCCTTGTGTACCCTTCAACGGCCAAGTCACACAATATTAACAATAATAATAAAGAAATCGCAGTAAGGAACCTTAGACTTGGCACGACTTTGTCTAGATTTCGTTACTTTTTAGAGATAATCAAGCAGCTCCATCGAGACTTGGCTAGTTTTTTACATAATGTTTTTGGTGGGATTTCACTTAGGTTTTCTGTAAGGTGGAGATTAGTTCCCCAGACGGGCGCACCAAATTAACGCTCTAATTTAGGATATTAGGATGCGCCTATGGTTTTCTTCAAGGCAATACTATCAATATACCTACATATACAGTATATCATGGTTTATCCAATTATTGAAAATTATATTAATTATAAGACACAACAATTAAAAGAAAAACATTAACTTAGGACACTTTTAGAAATCTTAAGGATTTCCATCCTAAAGATTACTTATCTTCAGCGGACTTCCTATCTGAATTGGAAAGTTGAATCGCATCAAATACATGAAAACCGTCTACCTAACTGAATCCCAAGCACGAACTTTGACAGATCTGTATTCGTATCGCCAACGTTAATGTTTCTATGGAAACTAATCAGCGTCCCTACCGGACGTAAGAACAAATTGGCTTTTTCCATAGAAATTTGACGACATGGTGATACGAATACGAATCTGTCAAAGTTCGTGCTTGGGGTACTGCATGTGCTGGAAAACGAATAGAACTAATAGTGGAGTTCCTGATAAATTATATTAAGGAACTATGATCCAATACTATTATGTTCATAAATTACTACCTAGAACTAAACAAAACTGTCTTCCCCATCTCTACAACTAGCACTAATAGTCTTTAATGTATGTAGATACTCGTAAAGTTTAAAAATATTTCACCCTGAAAATGCTCGCTGCGCCGCGAAATCTGATTTGCGTTTTCGCGGTGTGATGACTAAGAAATATCGAGATAAAACATGAAAGAGCTCGAGATATTTTTTGTCGAAAATTTATAGAAGCGCAAGTTATCTAATTAAATATTCTTAGATTATATTGTACCTATATTGTACAACACGGAGTTTAGAAAAAGGGACGACATTTTAAAAGAGAATACTGGAATGGGAATCTTTAAATTCAATCGAGTGCGTAATGTGGACTGGAGTTCGCGTGTCATTTGAGTTCTATTTTCTGTCAGGGACTCCGGCACTTTTGTCCTGTCCCATCACCCAGTAGATTAAATTGTTCGGGGGACTTTTTATACGCGGGACTTGTAATTCCTCGTGTGCGTTACTCGACGAAGCTATAAGCGATTTATTTTGGCGGACAAAAAAGTCCGCGGACAAAAGTCCCCCGTTTGCTTAGGCTATTCACCTTCAAACTTAGATCTATGTCCTATCCAGCCAGCTTCTCACATTTGCAAAAGTCTAACATGTCAAAACTTTTAGAATATCATATAAGTCTAGTTGCTTTCTATTTTCAGAGGAAACTTAGACACACTGGTTCATTACCCTTACAAAGTGGGTACGCCCTGCGCAGACTGCCCGGATGACTGCCTATCAGGAAAACTATGCAAGAACTCGTGTCCACGACGTGACGTATTCTCAAATTGTGACGAACTTCTTAATAGTATACCGGACTACTGCAATGAAGGATACTGTAACGCTACTTGCGAATGTGGCAGCAAAAGCATTTACAAGAACTACCCATTTTAGATTAAGGATTAAAGAATTTTGTTAGTTCCCCCAGAGCTATGAGTTTAGCAACATATTTTTACTATTGTTTTACTGCCGTTTCCCACAAATGAATATTATTAGCCGAGTGTTCAGAATACCGTTTTAGGGATCTATGAATAAATTGTATTTTATAGTTTATATTTATTTTGACACTAAACTTGGTGAAATAATTCAGAATATATACTCATCTAATCTGTATTAAAATAGTCACTTGCAAAGCAAACTTGGTTACTGTAAAAGCTGTATCACTTCCATAATGGCAAACCTAACAAGTGCGCCATCGACATTCTGTTTTTGTGGCAGTTAAAGTCCATCAACAGCCTATCCTAGCCCACTGCTGGACATAGGCCTCTCCAATTGCACGCCACTCAGATCGATCTTGGGCTACTCGTATCCAGCTCCTGACAGACACCTTGCGCAAATCGTCACTCCATCGTGCCTGAGGACGTCCTACACTACGTTTGCCTAGACGCGGTCTCCACTCCAGAACTCGTCTACCCCAACGGTTATCGGTTCTTCGGCAAATATGGCCAGCCCGCTGCCACTTCAACTTGCTAATCCGGTGGGCTATGTCGATAATTCTGGTTCTCTGTCAGATTACCTCATTTCTGATGCTCCTTCAGAGAGCCGAGCATAGCCCTTTCCATAGCACGCTGAGCGACTTTGAACTTGTGGACCAGCCGTACCGTCAGTGTCCACGTCTCGGCTCCGTATGTCATCACAGGTAGGACGCACTGATTGAAGACTTTCGTCTTTAGGCATGTGGGATCGACGATGTCCGGACTTGACGTAGCTTCCCAAACGCTGTTAAAGTGATTGTTTACAATATAGCAATCAGCCAAGATAGCAAGACATCTCTTTCTTTACGGGTTTCCATTGTGTGTAAAAACTTGAAAAGCTTTTTTATTTTTCCTAAGTATTGAGTATACAAGCCAACGTAGGTATATTGATAAGAATAGTTTGCTGAACATATTACGAAGTATTTACATAATTACTATAATGTGAATATATGATTGAACTAAGTTAAACGTTTCTTTTTTTCCCATAACTAAAACAACGATCCGGTAATATTCCAGTAATCAATACAAATATTGACATTTAAATAAAGAATGATGATAAAAAAAATGCACTTAAAATTAAGTTACAAAATCAAGCAAAGTTAACCAATAAATTCATATTGGTTGCGAAATAAACTTAGCAGCTAGACAGCTCTGTACCCCTAGCACGAACCATTATCGAATTCGAATAGTTTGCAAACCGAAATGTCAATGTCAAATTTTGTATAGAAACTTGAACAGCAGCGGCACAAAGTACGTAACGAGAACTAAAAATCAGTACACATTTGACAATGACATTTCGGACTCGCAAACGATACGAATTCGATATTGGTTCGTGCTAGGGGTTACAGATCTCTTTATTGCAAACGCAGTATCTGCAGAATGGTGGTTTAGAGATAAACGCGATAAACACATTTCTTGACATCTAATCAAGAAATCTCTGTTATGTAACTTTTAAATTGTAAGCTAAAAATAGTAAATGGGTATCTAACTTCTATTGACAATTTTTTTTCTTAACTTCATTGCCTTTTTTGGATAAAATGCTCTGAACTGCATTTTCATCAACTTTCTGGGCTGAAGGCATTACAGTATTACTAAGACTTAAAGCAGTACCTACTTATGTTTATTACTGCAAAATCATCTAGCAGTGCTCAAAACTGCGTTTGTAATTAGCAATAATTTTGTTATTTTCGCTACAAGCAATTTCAGTAATGGTGTTCAGTTTTAGTGTCTCAAGAGAAGCTCTTTGTTATTCTCGCTACATGCAAATGCAGTAATGGTGAGTGCTGTGTTTGGCTTTAGTTAGTATTCGTTGTAAAAAGTTATTCGCTAAATGGATATACAGTAAACGTAGCAAGTATCCACAAAAGGCTGTATAATCTTATAGCACATGCTTAATTCTGCAGATCTTTTTAGCCCAAGTAACATTTCTTTTCAAAAAACTTAACTTGTAAATATATTTTTTACATATAGATTATCTCATTGGGATGTAATTTTTGCAAAAATGTCAAGATCAAAAAAAAAATACGATTACTGCAAGTACAATTAGCAGAACAGAGCTGGAGTCAGATTTGACTCCTGCTCTGTTCTGCTGCTGCATAAGAAAAGGATAACTGAGGAAGAATTACTTCTGTAAAATTTGATATTTTACAGAAGTAATTCTTCCTCAGTTATCGATTTCTTATCGGATGTAATAAAAGAAACTGTATTAGCACTGTTGTTAATGCGGGAAAGGAATTCAAATACAGATATGCTCTATCACGCAAAATTTGGGGATATAGCAAGAATTCCTATATCCCCAAATTAGAAAGAAAACTAAAGTTAAAATGAGTGAGCAGTGATGCAAATATATTTTATGAATATTTTGTTTGTGTTTACATTTTAATATAACTACTACCTGTTATAAGTTATTGAACTGAAACAATTAATTCAATTCAATTTATTGCACTCATGTGGTTACATCGATGGTTACAAAATGCTTATAGTACCTAACATGAACCCTGTCAGGGTATCGCAATATACAGTACAGTTAAAGATAAAAATTACAAAAGAATTTAATTAATAAACAGTTATGTATATAAGGAACCTAATTTGTATTAAACCACTTAAATCTTAAATTATGCATAAATGTCATCTGATTCCATTTGTTTAACAATATAACTTACTCAATTGATCTTATTAACAGTAGAAATATAATAGAAATGGTAATTCATTTATAAAATTAAATTAAATTTGTCAATAAAAATAGAATAAAAATAAAATGATATGTCAATTAACATGATTATTATATACTAGGTTTGTATTTAAAAAAAAATCGCCTCATTAGTATTATTTTGTTGTAAAGTGTTCATTATATATATTAAAAAGTATATTTAAAAGCATTTATCTAATAAATATATTTTCTTTTTAACTTTGTGCATTCATATATTAAATTATTATCTATTTGTAATTTAAATATTCATCCACAGAATAGAAGCATTTATCAATTAGAATTTTTTTAAGTTTTGTATTAAATGTTGTAATAGATTTTTGGTTTTTTATAGAATGTGGTAATTTATTAAATATCTTAACTGCCATGTAGTAGGGGCTATTGCTAAGCATGGTTAGTCTTGATGGGGGATGGCTAACTTTATTAAACGCGTTTGAATTTTTAAATACAAAACCACATATGTCGTATATGTATATGCTTGGAAGAGTAAGTATTTTATATTTTTTAAAGAAAGGTTTGCAGCTCACTGTATTGTCTATTTGTGCAAGGATACGAATACACTTTTTCTGCACAACAAAAAGATCATGTGAATTCACACTATTACCCCACAGCATAGAGCCGTACCGCAACCAGGAATAGGCATATGCATAATATGTAGATAGTGCTGTTTCTAAGTTAGTACTCTGTTTAATTTCAAAGAGTGCGTATATAAATTGGGATAATTTAGTTTTAACATTATTTTCACTCTATTTAAAATGTTGATATAAAATGTCGAGGCTGCTATTAAAAATGTGTTTTCTTACGTACTCTCAGAGGAGCATACGAGACGGACACATTCATTTGTTTACGTTGTACGTATGAAGGCAGGGGGAACTGGCGGCAGGTGAGTCAGCAGGTGGGGTAACCACCAGCGCGTAACGCTGCGTCTGTTCCTTTGCCCTATTTATACGACTTTAGAGAAGCAACCGCTAGTACACAGTTGAGGAAGTTATCAAATAATTACTTAATGGTATCAAAAAAGTAAGGTCATCGAAAATTGGCAAGTTCTCACTTAAACTTAATTGAAACTACCAAGGAAGTTGTTATGATAAAAATAGTCATAGGATAATTTATTGAATAAATTAATTAAAGTATTGTATAATATAGTATATCGTAAGTATTTTTTTTTGAATATTGAACAAATTAAAAAAAACGTTGGCGTCATCGTTACGTGATGATATTTTTTTTAAACTGTTGTTTCGTTGATGTCTCTATACAGTGACAACTCTCGAAAAAGCTCAACAAAAAGCACATTTTTAGTCTTGTACAACATTGTAGCGATATTAGTATTCCACGGCGTTCCCGATCGAGTGAATAGCATGTTTCCCACCCCCACCACGTGCCCGACCCAATTGTAATGCAGCGCGGGCGCGGTCCGGCGCGCGGGCATTCCGGCGCCGGCCGCCGCGCCTCGCGAGTCGCGACCATCTGCACCATACGGTGACCATCGCATCCGGTGGCTCCGCTATGGTGTGCGACGACGGGCTCAATGCATCATCGCCTCACGGACGCCGCAAGTCCCTCCGACGGCTCGCCTCTACGCGCGGCTTCAAGCCCCGACACACATGCGATAACGGATGGATACGCGTTTTCGAAGGTCTCGAACCCTACACCGTCGATGCACCCAGCAAACTCCTCAAGATCTCCTTGAGCACCACAGTCGGAGAGGTTAACGAAAAACTCGGATTCGGCGACGAACTCACGCTATGGCTACAGATCGGCGGAGAAAAATCTAGACGACTGGAAAAGAATGAGTTTCCATTGAGAATACAAGAAAATTTTCTTACCTCACATGGCTGGACGTCCGAAGCCAGAAGACAAAGACTGGCTGTTGACCCCGAACTGAAATATACAATACGTTGGTGCGCTGGACCCTCTGATAGATCTGGCGGGATACTAAGATCCGGCACTATTAATATCTTAAAAGGACACGTATTTCCACAATGGAAATCTCGACCGGCCCACATAATTGGTTCTCAACTGCATTCTTTAGGTAAATTTATTCATTGACAGTGAAATATTTTTTGGAATTCCAATATTTAATATATAAGCCTCTTTTACTTTCCAGGATCAAGTTGGGAAATGTTAGAATTGTGTGGAGGAGTTATAGAGCTTTGCCCACCGAAAGCTCAAAAATTGGTGCTGTGCGTCAAACCTCGTTGCCAGAGTAACCTGCTCCATGGAGATGCAACTATGAATCACGTATTTCTTGGATTCAATAGTGTTTGGGAGCGCAACATGTGGTTCTGCTGGTTAAAAGAGGTGAGTTCATATATATGATTAAGCACGAGTTACACAATCACTATTACACGGCTCAATTGAGTCAAACAATTGTTTTGTACAAACAAATAGGTACGCAACGTGTAATGGCTCTGAGTTCTTTTCTCATCCCAGATTAGATTTTGTTAAACGGTAGTTTAATATCATAGTTGTTCTGTTATTGTTGTTTGGTCGGAGAGCCCCGTGTAATATGATAACTGTTTGCAGATGATTTAAGATCTGATTCCGGTACACTTCTTAAGCTAACGAACCATAACATGAATAGCGACAAATTGCTAGAAATTTCTTGAAGATTATCAGGCTTATGATATTTCAATGTGCCGTTTTTCGCATATCAGTTTATTTAGGGTTGCGTATCGTTTAGTAAATATATATATATATATATGGCAAAATATAACTTTTTTTAATGTTTTCCAAAAAAACTGATTTCGAAAATAGTGTTAAAACTTTTTTTTATTATATTTACCATATTATTAGATCAGCGAACATTATTTCTTAGCTTAGGTTAATGTTATCCACTCACTTAAGTGAGTCGAACAAATGTCTGATTATATTCTTAAAACCATAAAAAATTTATTAAAAAGAAAACAATACCATTATACATGTAAACCAACATAAAAATTTGTTTCAATTAGTAATTTTAATAAATCATCTTAAAAAAGTGTGTTAAGGAGAAATTGTATGCGCGTTGCCCTGAAAGAGATGTCACGCTCGAGATGTTGAGAGTCTGCAGGTGGATAGCGGTGCTGAGCTGACACAGACAGACATGCTCACTGGTTACTTTAGCATTAGTGAAAAGTCACTCGATACGATCACACAGAAATCAAGACGCGGTTCTCAATTTATACAATGATAAAACACGACATAAAAGAATAACTTTAAAATAAAAAAACGAACGCCTTTTGCGACAAAACGCAAAAGGTAAATTCGCTCAAGGACGCACTGTCTGGATATATATATTTACACCGTGTATTCGCCGTTTCTATATCGTGATTCGAATATTTAAGAAGTATAGGTACTAAGCCTGTGTTGTGTTTGGGAATAAATAACAATGCTAGTAAGTTCGTCGGCCCCGTGTCTACACACCGCGACAAAGTCAACCGACTTTCAGTTACCTTTGATATGTCACCTGATGTAACTTAGTGCTAGTAGTACGCCAACACGAAGTGCAGTGTCAGTTATGGTGGAAGGAAACAAAGTGATAATGGAGGAGGAGGACAGTTTGGACATGTTCAGTGAGCCCATTAGTGAATTGTTCTTGGACAGTTTGGAGCCGAACTTCTTACTGAAAGAGAAAAATGAACAAACGGTAGGTGTTTTTATAATAGTAAAGGCTGTATGAAATGTTTTAAATATCGAATATGTACAACATTCATTTATGAAATACTGCAGAATCTGTGTATTTGTGAAAATCTCCTTAAAATAGATTCAAAAGAACTCGTTGTGTTTCGACCGCCGAAGTAGTGCAATATCAAGAAAAAACAATTATCTAACGTACATTACAGTCCGTCTTAAAGTGTAATAATCAAATATGTGATGGTGTCTTGTAATCATGAAAGCAAATTTTAAGAAGTATTGTTTCATTGATGATTATAATCAGAAGGCAAATGAAAAGTATTATAGGGCTCAAAAGCAAAGTAAAAAAAAACTTTGGAAGCCGCTAGGCATGAAAAACAGATGTTTACTGATTTTTTTTAATAAAACATAATACCAAATCACAAAATAGTACTCTACTGTAATTATTTTAAAGTTACCATTTTAAGGATTCCGAAATAACATACATTACAATTCACTTTTTTTGTTATCCCCATAAGGCATCCATTGGGTGTTGTTGGATAGCACCTCTGAAAATATTAAGGTCCACTTGCACGAAAGTTCTTAATTGAAATTAAAGCTTGATCGTGTTTTCTACATCATTCCATCTTTGCCAATTGCTTAATATCAAATAGGGCTTAAACATGATTAGCCATTAAAGAATAAAGAAATTTTGTGCAAGTGGGTATAAGGGTTTGACAAAAGTATTTTCAATTCGGAGTTCCTTCGTTCTCGAAATATAAAGCTTTAAAGTAAACTCTCTGAATTAAGCTACGTACGAACCGAACGTAGACTTTAAAGCTGTATTAGGTTTATACGTGAAATACTTTTAGGAATCGATCGATTAGCTTTTGAGTTTATTTGTTACAAACATTGTAATCTTTCCTCTTAAAATACACGTTAGTGTAGATATTACAAACATTATATATATTATTACAGCTTTCTATAGCAGTATAGCGTCATTGCAGTTACACACTCTGTGGTTTCACTTCAATAACATGAAATTAAACGATTCACACCATATGATTAAGTGTTTGTTGACTTGTCCCACGTGCCTGCATGAAATCTAAGGATCTATGATGTAATCATCTATACATATAATAAAATGGTAGAAAAGTCAAAACTGTACATTGAATATTTTTTTAAAAGAATACTTGGGATGTGATACAATCGATACCGAAGCCAAAAATATAGTTTTTAGAAATATTGTCTGTTAATCTGTATGTATGTCCGGGATAAACTCAAAAAGTATTGCCTAGATTTACTTCAAATTTGGCACGAATATTATTAAGAAGTCGGGTTAACATATAGAATACATGTTATCATGCTTTCACTTACGGGGAACGAGCAGTGAACCTTTATTTCTAACTAACTCCACGCGTACGAAGTCGTGGGCGCCGCTAGTAATATTCTATTTTTTGTCATATTATGAATGTAACATTTGTTTTTATCAAGCACCTACTCATGATCAATACAAAATGGTTAAAGGATAATGAAATTTAACTATCACAAAAAGTACTGTCAAATGTATCACAGAACTACACATTACCGTAGTTAACCCGTCTGAAACTTGAACCAAGTGGACTTTTTCTAATAAAAAACTCTTTACATATAAACAAACATATAGTAATAAAATGCGTTCAAAAATAATCAACTACTCATAGGATTGAACTTCAAGCTTTTAACTGTAACTTTCAATACTTTTAAAGCCTTTAGTCCTAATCACTAGCCCGACTCGAGTTCCGTCCAATATAAAAGACAAGCCGCATTGTTATAGCTGCATTAGAATAACTCGCTAACAATATTACCTCTCTTTACAGGCTACCCAGAGCACGCAACCACCGAATATCTTGGACCTCAGCGGGGGCGGTGGACGTTTGACACTCGAGTCTGCCCTCACGCAACATGCGTCCGGTCCTTTCGCTGTAAGGGTCTTGAAGCTGCAGAATAATGCGCTAGCATCACTGCCTTCCCAACTATGGGACATGCAATCGCTCACTCACCTGGACTTAGGCGACAACCGCCTTACCGATTTACCAGAGGAAATATGCCAATTGACTCAGTAAGTATATTTTGGTATCACTACCTTTGAGAATAGCATTGTGCTTAAGATTTCAGATATTTTGTTTATTAAGAATCAGTACCCCTAGCACGAACCAATATCGAATTCGTATCGTTTGCGAGTCCAAAATGTCATTGTCAAATGTGTACTGATTTTTAGTTCTCGTTACGTACTTTGTGCCGCTGCTGTTCAAGTTTCCATACAGACATAGAAATTTCGGTTTGCAAACTATTCGAATTCGATAATGGTTCGTGCTAGGGGTACAGATACGAGGTAGTTTGTAACTCTAATATTTGAATTTTACGCCGGTATAATGTTTCCTACAAACTCTAACTATTAGTTACGAGAATACACAAATATAATATTCTCAAATTTATATTGGATTTAAAATTAGGCATTGCTAAAGTAAGTTCTTATCGATAGCAATATATGTTAATCTGCCAAGTTAATGGTGGATCGCTTTCCGCCCCAGTTTCCCTCATTATTAGACTTTACTTACACTTATACTAAAAAAAAGAAAGGTCAATTTATAAAAGAAGACATTTACTTTAGATTATAATTAGTTACGTTTATTTATAATGTAAAAAAATACAGTCGAATTGAGAAGATAAAATAAGTTAAAATATTTAATAAATCTTTATTAAATTTACATGGGAAGACTTCAAAAGGAAATTGATTCAAACAAAAAAATAATTATCAATATCTATTCATAATTGGCTGAATTATTGCGTTATATAACAAACACACAAAAATATACAAAAGAAATGATAACCTCCTTTTTTTAGAGCCGATTTAAATTAATAAGTTTCAACTATGAATCCTACTGATGTTTGATCTGATAACGGATATTGCGTGAAAAAGGAGATATACAACAATAATAAAAATATTAAATAAATACACTAACAAATGATTTTCTATTTTCAAAAGGCTAAAATAAAATACAACAAGTTTCAACGGTATAGATGCACTGATTTATTTATTTATTGACGTTTCGCATCCTTTTCAGGATGCGTCGTCTGAATTCAATAAATATGTCAATATATTTATAAGTAAATCAGTGTATCTATACCGTTGAAACTTGTGTTATTTAATGAGTGGTGTGCGTGAAAACCTAAAAAACAAATGAGCTTAAATTATATAAATAAATTACTATGGGCGTAAGTCAGAGAAGTTAATCAATTATTAACAGTAATTAAAGTTACGTTTTTTTAACGGCTATCCCCAATTTGTATCAGGTCTTTTTTCAGCTTTGGTCTTTTATTTGTTTCTGTTTTTTATTTTTTTTTATATCACGCTTGCTTTTTTGCATGTATTTTATGTATTTTCGTGCTTGTTCTTTTGCACTTGTATCTTTTCTTTTTTTATATTTATTACAATGTTTTCTTATATTCTGTTACATTTCTTATTTCTCTTTATATATTATACAATTTTCTTATTTGATTTTATTCATACATACACACTTATTTTACCTATTCCTATATATTTACATATTTCTTAATCTAATTACATTTCCCCCCCTATCTTACATACTATTTTACTTGTGTATATTAATAAGTATTTTTCCCTATATTAAACACCTTGAATCTAATAAAAATCTCCCTGTCTTTATTATCCTTCATTATTACCCTTAGGTTTTCCTTGCTAAGATGTGTGTTTAATGCCATTTGTGTATTGTGTTTAGCTAAGTTGTGAAGGGGGCATTCTAATAGGACGTGAAATATGTCCTCTGCGGTGTCAGGATCACAAACGCATCTAGGGCTGTCCTTCTTTTTAAATCTATGGAGGTAGGCGGAGAAACCTCCGTACCCGGTAAAGACCTGTGCAGCTATCCTGTCAATTTCCATCTTTCTTCCGACACCGATGGGACAGCAGTCATAGTGCGATATGCACTTCAACCCTCCGCCTCCTTCGCCAACTGATCCGCTCTCTCGTTTCCGATCACCCCGACATGGGCCCTGGCCCAAAATAGGGACACGGTTTGTCCGTTGTCCCTAAGTTGCGCCAGGTTACCCTGAATCGCCTTGGTGATCGGATGCGAGGAGTCTGGATCTGCTAGCGACTGGAGAGACGACCTCGTGTTGCTGAGCACGGCGGCCTCCTTCCACCCCTTCCCTAACACACTCTCCGTGGCTTGGAGGATAGCATACAGCTTGGCTTGGAACAGTATGGCTCCAGCTTAAACTTTCGGGAAAGGACTTTTGCCTGCCCTTTCCAACAGATCAGGGCGGCTCTCACCTTTCCCTCCAGTTTGCTGCTATCTGTATAGATCTTTACAAGACCTTCTGCCAGTTTGCTATTCTCCTCCTCGTTTTTCAAACATTCAAATCCTATCATTCTGCTGCTACCGGGATGGTCCGATTCCATGAAGGACACCTTTTTCTCCACCTTTCTCCCCTTTAATATTACCTGGTGTTTCCCTCACTTCGCCTCATAAAGCTGGGATGCTTCATTGACCCGGAGGTCCAGCGGAAGCAGCCCCGACAATATTAAGGCGGAGTTTAGTGACACCGTTCTGTAACATTTGGTGATTTTTTGCGCGAACCCCCTTTGCACAACTGCGAATTTCTTTTTTGACATTGTTTTGTTAGCCGCCCCCTGCCAGCACCTATAAAATACCTACACTCGCCGCGTATAAAATTATTGGTTCTATTACTGCTATGTATATGGTTCTTATAATTTCCGGCTGGAGACCCCACGTTGTTTTTGCAGCTTTTTGAATTCCTTTAAACCCATTTATTGCTTTGCCGCAAACGTATTTGATGTGCTCGTTGTAGGTGAGTTTATTGTCTATTTTTAGGCCTAGGATTTTTATTTCTTTAACTAGTTCTATGTCTGTCCCCCCATGGTCAGTACCAGCGCGTCGTATTTAAGCTTTCTAGTTATAATCATGGCCTTGGTTTTTTGTGGCGCAAAGTTAAGCTTATTCGACGCGCCCCATCTCCTGACCAGGGAGAGTCCTATATTGGCCTTTTCCTCCACTATTTTGGGGTCTCCTCCGTCCACCACAATGATTATGTCGTCGGCGAATGCCTGACAATAGGCGTTGGCGTCGGCGAGCTCGTTTAGGAGAGGATTCAGTAGTATATTCCAAAATAAGGGGCCTCCTATGGACCCCTGTGCGCAACCTTTGTTTGTGGTTTTACTTTTTTTTTTATACTTTATAAAAAAGGACTTTTTTTAATTCTTACAAATATTATACTTGAAAAGAATGGACGTGTCGTGTTTTTCTAGTACGTACATATACTATTTTCTTACACTTATAAATCTAGCAAATTACTGCAATATATATATATTAAATATAATAAATAATTATACTCTAAGGCCCTAATTAAGTAAACAGAAAGTATATTTTGTTTATTTTTTTAGTGCAGTAAATAAGAGCGTCTTTTAGTTTAATTTATTTTTCTCTTTTTAGTCGTGAAATAAACAGAATATATGAAGACGAATGTAATGAGCCCAAACTCGATATGTTTACTAGTAGATAGTCCAGGGTCCAAGAGCCACCTTCCAGTCCATCGACAAGTCCTCGTCATCAGGAGAAATGAACAGAATATGTTAAGACGAATCTAATGAGCGCAAACTCGATATTACTATACTAGTAGGCCAAGGTTCCATCAGCCACCTTCCAGTTCCATCATCAGACCAGCTCGATGGTACCATAATATTGTATTGTCATCTAATCTACATAGAATTGCCAAATTTCGTGATGATACAAGAATTAGAAGTACGTGTAATTCAGATTCTTAGATTCTATTACATAGTTACATACAGGTCGACCTAATAAGAGCGTGTTACAAATGTAATTGACATTTTCTTTTCGCTAGCAAAATAGAAAAAGACAACACGCCACGATTACAAGCTTTCAGTTTAACCGATATCTTGCCGAGATTATTTTTACACATTTGGTGATTGTTCAGGTATTGATAAGACATCAACGCGCACTTAACATCATGTAGACAAGACAAGCTACATGAGGTTAAAAACATAGTTTTGTTCCACATATATTTGGTTGGTGTGAATTAGCCGTTTGGCTGCATAGTAAAGGCAGAAACAGACTTTTGAAACGCGATACGACCTGATGCCGCGCGACTCGTGTTGAGTCCAATCAAATCTACTATTTTAGATACTAGAACTTCAACGCGACATGCACATGCCACCCAAACCCATTTATACAGATCGACGTGATGCACGCAGTGTTTTTAACGTCACGTGTCAGTCGTCTTAGAATTATTTATTTTATTTTTGCTTTTCTTCTAATTGTGTTTTAGGTACGCGAAAATATATATGATTTCTGTCATCATCTCTAACCAATACAGATCACGATATTCACTAAAACTTCTTCTCTTTTCATATATTTCATGCACCCAGTAACGTCTAGTTATTCTTTTTGTAAGTTTAATTTGCATAAAATCTTCTTGAAAATCTTCTCTGGCTCGTGCACGGCGTACATCGGCACATAGTGTCGCATCGCGTTACAATATTATAAAACAATAATACAAGAAGGTAAATACAAGATACAAGTGACAAATTAAAAAGGAAAATTGCATGTTCATTATACGGGGGCTGATATCCTACTAATATTATAAATGTGAAAATTGGTATGTATGTTACTCAATTAATCGAAAACTACTGAACTGATTTTAATGAAACGCACATATAGTTTATGACGTGGAGTGGGAAGACTGATAATTTTTATCCCGGAAAAGTTTTATATTCCCGTAAGATTATCATTAAACTTAAGTTACCGCGGAATAAGACAGGTGGCTGTTAGTTAAATAATAAGTGGAATCTAGTTGCTATTATATTTTCTCCCCGCCATCGAAAAAAAGATAGCTCATGCAGCAGAAAAGGTTACCGCTCCAGCCATCCTCACTTTGCTGACCTGAATTCAAGTCCCTATCCCATGGAGTACGGGAAACCTTACTTATCGACAGCGTCATCAATATAACACCACTAAACGGGTCTGTTATTTTATTATGATCTTCTTTATGGTAAACACA